GGACCTGGTTACCTTCGAGACCGCCTCCTGCCACAGATTACCTCCCACCGACCTGTACGCTCCCACAGAGTGGGTCTCCTCAGGGTGCCGTCAGCCAGACAGTGCCGGCTGGCGACCCCAAGGGGGAGGGCCTTCTCTGTGGGAGCTCCCACCCTCTGGAACGAACTGCCCCCAGAGATCAGGGTGATCCCTGATCTCCTTTCCTTCCGCCGCGCCCTCAAGACATGGTTGTTCCAGCTTGCGGGACTGGCCTAAGGGATTTTAAAGGGGTTTTAATTACTTTTAATTGGAACAGATTCAAATATTTCTTTTTAATTAATTTTAAACGTGTATTGTATTTTCGTATTTTATCTGATTGTTAGCCGCCCTGAGTCCGCAAGGAAAAGGGCGGGATACAAATGTAATAAATAAATAAATAAATAAATAAATAAATAAATAAATAATTTATTAATTTAATTTATATCCCGCCCTTCTCCTTGCGGACTCAGGGCGGCTAACAACCAGATAAAAATACTAATCCCAAAAAACTACAGATTAAAAACATAATTAAAAACAAATATTAATGATTGGTCTAGTTAGTTTAAAATTGCTTTAAAACCCCCATTAAAAATTTTCCCCTAGGCCAGTCCTGCTAAGGGAAATTTCACAACTTGAGAGACAGGAAATGAAAAGAGAAATGGAGGGAGAAAGGAACTGGGAGTTGTTTAAGGAATATAAATGGGTGGAATTCCCCCTTAAAAATACCCTACCCAGATTATTTTCCTTATGCCAAGCAATTTTCACAAAAATAGAAAGAAAATTCCTGGGCGATCTAATCGCCCTGGCTTGGAAAGCGACTTGGCAAAGAAAGAAAGTGAGAGTCAGATTTAAAAAACAGAAGACTTGACCTTCTAGAGGGGGCATTATATGTTTAAATATTATTTTGAATAAGATTAAAAGAATGGAAGACTTTTAGAAATAATTAGATTTTTACAATGAATGATATGATTTAGAATTAAGATAGCATTTTTTCTCTTTTTTTGATGTGGGAAATATGAAGATAAGAGGATTGATTTGAATAAAATTTTCAGCTATATAAATGTAATTAATATTGAGAAAATCATAACTTAACTGATAAGGATATTTCAAATAGTGATAGGAAATCAAACTTTAACAAGCGCACGAAAAACAGGATATTGATTAATGAATTGACACTATTGATTTATGAATTGATATTATTGTTATTTGTTTGATATTAGTAAAATATGATGAAGATGCTCATATCTAACTTTGTATACATTAACAGTACCAAAAATTGTAATGGTGTAATGAAGGGAAAAAGGAAAAAATATAGAGAAGAAAGGAGAATCAGGGAAAAAATACTGGATTGCGTAGTATTGAACAGATTTATATTGAAAAAAATAAATGTTAAATATTTGAACCCAAACAACATGTTGTTTACTAAGCACTAAAGACTGTAATTTTTAAAAAAGAAAGAAGTTAGTTTGGCCATTTCTGCAAGTTCCATTGTTTTCACAACCATTTCTCCATTATGGGTAGTACTGAGTCTTTCTACTTTTGCACATGTAATACTCTTGCTGCATAGTTCCACATGTGGAACCATGTGAGCTATAGAGACATTTTGGTATTGTCTTATGCACTATACTTGCTTAACATTTATCTCTGCTTGTCAGCCATTCAAGAAGCCCAGGTCAAGAAACAAGCACCACAGATATCCCAAAAATACTACTTTATTATTGTTGGGTATGATAACAGATTCTTGAAAATCAAGCTTCCTTCTTTCCCACCCTATACCAAACAAATCAAAACAGGATTATTTTGAATTGCTTTCTTACACTTCCTCCAATCTCCGGACTGTGTACAGTAATCTCTTGTGGAAGTCCCTTCTTAACAGTTCTTCAAACCTTCCCTAAGGTCAGTTCTACTTTTTTTTATATTCTTTATTTACAACATTTTATACATTGATACACAATTATACACACAGAGAGAAAATTCATAGTGTGAAACCCTTTTTTGTGGAGTCCTTGGTGCTTTCCAAATGAGATTGCTTGTAGACATTTCATTACCCAACCAGCACTGTAATCAGCACTGATGATGTTACCTAGTTAAGTAATGAAATGTCTGCAAGCAAACAATCAAGTTCAGAGAGCAAAAAAAAAAAAAAGATGCTGAGACTCTAGAAAGAGTACAGAGAAGAGCAACAAAGATGATCAGGGGACTGGAGGATAAAGCATATAAGGAACGGCTGCTGGAATTGGGTATGTCTAGTTTAATGAAGAGAAGGATGAGGGGTGACATGATAGCAGTCTTCCAATATCTCAGGGGCTGCCACAAAGAAGAGGGTGTCAAGCTATTTTCCAAGGCGCCTGAAGGCAGGACAAGAAGCAACGGGTGGAAACTAAGCAAGGAGAGAAGCAACCTAGAACTAAGGAGAAACTTCCTGACAGTTAGAACAATTAACCAGTGGAACAACCTGCCTCCAGAAGCGGTGAATGCTTCAACACTGGAGGTTTTTAAGAAGAGACTGGACAGCCATTTGTCCGAAATGGTATAGGGTTTCCTGCCTGAGCAGGGGGTTGGACTAGATGACCTCCAAGGTCCCTTCCAACTTTACTATTATTATTATTAGCACCAAGGACTTCATAGTTCAACCCTGAGCCGCACATATTCTCTTCTACTGAAAACCCTTTTTCCTCAACATGATGCATGGTGCTTATAAATTTCTTTTATTTTTTTTTTCTTTTCTTTTCTTTTTTGAAAGCCCTCAGATAGCTAAGGAAAGCTTACTAGATGAAGGAGATAAAGTTTCTGCTGGGTTTTGACTAGCAACCTCTTACATATTTGCATGTGTGAAATTATAGTTTCCACAAAGAAAGACCTATAAAATTCAGAGCCAAGATAAACATAAAGCTGTTGATAATTTTCAGTTAACAGACAACAACACTTACTGAATAAGAGAATAGTAGTGGTCAATGAACTGATTCCATTCTGTTTCTGAAAGTACTGGAACATTATCTGTCTCTGCATCAATGTCTTCATGTTCAAATTGTTCAAGGTAGGTTTCACATATTTTGCATGCCATTTCTGCAAGTTCTCCAGGAAGCTCCTTAACTTTCTTTAACTCATAATCTAGGGAATCAAGGCAAAATGTTTATCAATAATGGCACTCTGTATGCAGTTCAATCTATTTCTCCTCAAGGCTTCTTTGTAAGGTCCCTGTAACATTTATGCAATTCAAAGTTTGCAAGAGAAAATAAGTTTGGTAGATTTCATTTAAATCAACATTGAAAATAAAAAGGCAAATTGTGATGCTGTCACAAATGGACATTTATTCAACTGTAGAAACAGCCACAATAGTAAAGAATACCTTTAACCTGAATGGCATCTTCTTTATCACTGTTTTCTTTAAACGACCAGTCATCAGAAATGTGCAAATTGACAACCCATTTAATTATGCAGAAGGCTGCTGTTTTTCTGAAGTCATCTGAAATACATGACATTTCTTTTAAGCAGCAAATTGTCTAAATGATAAAGCAGAGAGCAGAACTATAAGCATATGGTGAAAACATCACTAAATCCATCCAGAACCATTATTAAACTGCAGTTTAAGAGAAAATAAGTCATGGCTACAACTTGTGAAACGATTTGGAAACATCTCCAGATGGTTTTTCTCTCTAATCACCCTGACAACTGGTATAGTTCAGTCTTGATGCATATCATTAGGAGGGGATCTTAGTACATTATGAACAGTGGTGGGATTCAAGTATGTGAACAACCGGTTCTGTGTGTGGATGCTGCTTCTGGAAGTCTATTCTGGACCTGGGCAACCAAAAATTAGCTACCGGTTCTGCTGAACTGGTGCAAACTGGCTGAATTCCACCACTGACTGTGAATATTAAAATACTGGAGTCTTGGGGGGGGGTTCTTTTCAAAAACAAGAATAAGAGTTCTCTGGAGTAACACAACTAACAATTTAGTGCCAGTGCAAAAAATCTAGAGTACAATCTGTTTTTGTAAGGCCTAATATTGTCATACAACTTTTATTCCCTAAAAATAATAAGATTAAGAATATGAAAGTTAATACTGAATCATTATCAAAATGAATAATAATTTAGGAGAAAGGGGTTAACTTGCAAGTCTGCTAGAAATAGTATATCATAAGTAGATCCTATTCAGTCTATTCAGATATTTCCACAGGCCTTCGGTTCCTGAGAATGGCCAGAATTAAAATTAAAAGTGATAACAAGTAAGTCATACATTCAAAAACCTAAAATTTGACTTTGCGGTCCTTCTGGCCATTCCTCAGATTGGTTCTAATCACAAGCAGTCAAGAAAAGAAGAAGCACATCCATCTTCAACATAGACAAGTTTTCCATTGTCTCTATTACACATCCTTCATTCCAAATCTGCCAAATAATTTTCTTGCTATTCTATTTTGCAGGATTTTTGCAGAAGAAAAAGAAAAGATGGATGCAGCCATGGAAAACAGGAGCTCATTATAACACTTGACTATCAAATAATTGGAGACCTTTGCGATAGTGATATAGTCAAGTACAAAATTGTGCATAAAAATATAATCTCAGATTTAAAAAGTTTAGGACAGGTCAAGAGATTGCATAATCCTGCAGGAAAATAAACTGTTTTCTTAAATTGGCCTGTAAGAATTCCTAAATCATCTGCAGAAAGGAAAATTATTACATAGTTAGTTGTAAGCTTATGAAACATTCCTTCTTCAAGGCAATAAATGTCAGAAAAGCTGCAATTTTAACACACATTTAAAAGTTCTATTCATCTCAATGGATATTATTTCCAAATAAATGTAACTAAGATTGTAGTGCTGATTTATCAATATGGACATTTCCCTAATTTCCATTGGATTGGAATAAGTGCTCAACAAATGCATGCATTGTTATAGAATTGTTATAGATTTTAGTTGCTTGTTGTCAGCCACAATAATAAAAACTCTTCCACTGGCAGGTTTTCAAGGCTAAAATGAAGGAAATTTAAAATAACTCACCGATAAAAGCAGATTTGTCATCATCTAAACAGATGGCATAACACCGAGGAAAGAAACTGTTTGGGTTCACTGACACATACCATGGCAAATTCCTCATGTGCAAACAGAGTCCTATCTGTAAATAATATGTGTATATATATATATATATATTATCAGTGCTTTTATGGATAATAGTAAATTAGCTCTATCCAGGAATAAGTATAGTTAGTATACCAACCAAAGTTGTTCACGTACTTAATAATGCTTTGTTCAGTGCTTCTCAATCTTGGCAACTTTAAGATGTGTGACTTAAGATGTGTTCCCCTGGCTGGCTGGAGAATTCTGGGAACTGAAGTCCACACATCTTAAAGCTGCCAAAGTTGGGAAACAGTTTATTGCAAGCATTTTATTGGAACTATCCTTGTGCTTGGTCTGCAAGCTGCAGCTAATACAGCATCCAACAGTCATATTACTATTCATAATCCACATCTGTTCATATCCCACATCTGTTGCAGTATCTGTTCTATTGACAATTAGTTGTTGAGCCAGAGTCAAGGGTTTTTTAATATATATATAAAATATAAACATAAGTCATCAGATTAGTACCACCCTCTTAATTACAAACAGGGAAGATCTCTGAGATTGTCAATGGAGGTTTTGCTTATGTCTCGAGGACTATCCGGTGATTGATCATGGGCAAGTTTTCTTGTGCTGGCATCCAAACTCTACAATGCATGTTCCCTGAAATCTGTTAAATGCCTCTGTTACATCCTCTAGATATTGTTAAAGAAGCCCTGTCTTTTTATTTTAGATCTTCTCTGGATGAACTTGGCTTCTGGTTTTGTTTTTCTTTCCTCCCTCTCTCTCTCTCTCTCTCTCTCTCTCTCTCTCTCTCTCCGTGTGCGCGCACGCATGCACGCATGTGTAATATATTTTAATTCATTTTATAGTTACAATGTTTGTAATGGCTGCAAGGAAGATATGAAAAACAAATAGTGCTGTTAATACTAGAAGGAATACATGGAACTGATGTGATCATTGTAGTTTTATATGTAAAACTTATAGTTGCAAATAAATAAATACAGTACAATTCATTTTATTGCATATCTTATATTTTGTAAAGTGCTTTTTTTAATTTTATTGTGCATAAAGTTCTTTAAGGAACTTGAGTATATGTAACAGCATTAAAACACGGAGTCCTTTGTGCTCTCTGAGCTTGGATGGTTTTTTGCAAATGTTCCATTATCCAAGTAGATAATGCCATCAGTGCTGATGATCAACAAGCTCAGAGAGCAACAAGGGCTCCACAGATCAACCCTGAGTTGCATACATTCTCTTCTATTGGAAGTATAAAATATATTAAATAATAATTACAACAACAGCAAAAGCATAGCTGATATACTGAGCAAAATTGGAATTGGCCCACCCCATCCACGTTGGCAGAGGAGGCATGCTGAGGGCCCCGTTAGCCGGAGTATTCCAGCTGGCGGGGTCCAGGAGAAGAGCCTTCTCTGCCATTGCTCCTGCCCTGTGGAATATCTTGTCCCCTGGAATGAGGTCTCCACCAGAGCTCCTGACCTTCTGTAAGAGCCTAAAGATCTGGCTCTGCCAGTTAGCTTGGAGCTGCAATGGGGGAGCATCACAGTGGTTGACTGATGAACCACAGATCCCACCTCCCTCCCATCCTACTCTGGCCTCCCCATTCTTAATTGGGATCCAGTATTTGGATCTTCACATTATTTTATTTATGTCTTTTAGCTTTTGCATAGTTTTTATCTTTTTATGATTGTAAGCCGCCCAGAGTTATCTGTTGTAAGAATTTTGCAAATAAATAAATAGTTAATTATTGCTTCTGACCACTGGGCTCCAATGACAACAATTACTCTAGGAATAACCTCAAACTCTGTTCTGCTTCTAATAAAGTGCAATTCCTTTTAGAACAGGTAGTCCGCCTCCCAATTTCTATACCCAAGACGCACCCTCCACAAGAATTCAAAGCTACTTTATTTCCCATCACCCATACCTTCATTGCATCTAGACATAGGTTCAAAACATGTCAAGCCTTTCCTAATTAAAGTGCTGTGGAATGAGGAGAATGTAATCAGCATATTGATGAAATTCCTGATGAGTGCTCTGATTGGCTTCATATATATATCTTAAATAGTGCAAGGCACATAATAGCACTACAAATCATCCCACAGTAGGATTCTCAGGGTTTAGAGGCACTGTCATCCAATGTTACTTTTTGAATCTATTCCAGCAAGTGGGAACAAGACTACTGTAATAAAAGCCCCAACTTATAGAAAAATCCAGTAGGATATCATAATTGGTAGAATCAAAAACCCACTGAAAAATCAGTCAGGATTAACAGTAACACTCCCCAATTTTCTCCCCTGTAGGAGGTTATCTAACAGAAAAATTATGGTTGGTTCAGTCTCCAAACCAGACAATGAACCAGGTCAAGAAGGTCAAGAAAATTGGTGCCCTCCAAGAATATCTGCAGTTGCCCAGACACAACCCCTTCCCTGCCAATAAAAGAACTGAATATATGATTGAATGGTACTGTAACTGGTGATAGCTGTTTCAGTAGTAGGTGAACCACTGCCTACTGTACTTTAAGACAAGCATCACCAGCTCTTTATCCAAAAATATATTTAGATTAGTGGTTCTTAAAATGGTTCCATTCAATTACCACACTTCCTGGTCTTGAATAATGTCATTACTCCCATGACACACATAAACACAAACACGCACACGCACACATACACCTCTGTTTTTGGCACAAATGGTCATTCCAAATCACAAACAAGAAATTATAAAGTGCCTCATTGCCCTCCAAATATGCCCAAATTTTTCCCCTGGAGATAATTTCTACCAATTTAAGAACCATTGTCCTAGATCAAACCAGTCAGTCCTCCTCTTAGCATGTATAGCCCAAAATAAGTAAGAGTCAACAGAACCTGTGGTTGACTAGACACTATGTACATCCTCAGGCTCATAAATTGTAAGTCCATTCTTATCACACACATCATAAATCAGCTACCAGGAGCATGGCGAAAATACATCCCATCACAGCTTGATTACCCTAAATGCCTCCTCTTCCTCCACTACCATCATTTTATGTGTCAGTACAAGAAGCTCATCTGAAACCCTCTGAAGTTATGAGGCTGATCTCCAGGCCTCCTAGAAATATGTCTCTCTTATGTCAGATAGTTAAGTTACTCCAAAGGAAGAATAATGTAATATTAATTTTATTCTTCCCTTTTAACCCACTGTTCTCCACCCCCACTCTAAAATCATACACGAAAAAGTCACCTTTCACCACTCCTATATTACCTATGAATTTTCAACTCAGATTTAATCTATTTAATCTATTCTACTTCAAATATTCCAATTTTCTCATAACTGTGCTGCAGCTGCCAAAAAGGCCAACACAGTGCTGGGCTGCATTAACAGAGGGATAGAATCAAGATCACGTGAAGTATTAATACCACTTTATAATGCCTTGGTAAGGCCACACTTGGAATACTGCATCCAGTTTTGGTCACCACGATGTAAAAAAGATGTTGAGACTCTAGAAAGAGTACAGAGAAGAGCAACAAAGATGATTAGGGGACTGGAGGCTAAAGCATATAAGGAACAGCTGCTGGAATTGGGTATGTCTAGTTTAATGAAGAGAAGGACAAGGGGGGACATGATAGCAGTGTTCCAATATCTCAAGGGCTGCCACAAAGAAGAGGGAGTCAAGCTATTTTCCAAAGCGCCTGAAGGCAGGACAAGGAACAATGGGTGGAAGCTAACCAAAGAGAGAAGAAACCTAAAACTAAGGAGAAACTTCCTGACAGTTAGAACAATTAATCAGTGGAACAACCTGCCTCCATAAGCGGTGAATGCACCAACATTGGAAGTTTTTAAGAAGAAACTGGACAGCCATTTGTCCGAAATGGTATAGGGTTTCCTGCCTGAGCAGGGGGTTGGACTAGATGACCTCCAAGGTCCCTTCCAACTTTATCATCATCATCATCATCATCATCATCATCATCATCATCATCATCATTATTATTATTATTATTATTATTTATTTATTTATTTATTTATTTATTTATTTTAATTTATATGCCGCCCTTCTCCCGACGGGACTCAGGGCGGCGCCCAACATATTTAAAACAAAACATAAATATTTAAAACAAAACATAATTATTATTATTATTATACAATTTCCAAAATAATAAGCTTGCAATGTATTCTGGCATCTGTTGTAGATGACAACTAATGAACAAATCTACTTGCTACCTACTATATGTGAAACGGCAGAGTACTCAAAACAGCAATACAAAAATTTTATTTTCATCAGATCAAATTATCTGAACCTTTGCTTGATGGGTAATATATCTTGGATAATGCAAGGGCAACTTCTGTTTTGATGGTAGAACATCTGTTTTCCATTCATAAGATCTTTGATTCATTAAACATATCATTTTTCCTTCAGACTCTGGGGAATTGTTGCCAATCAAGCATAGACATAATATTGCCCAACAGTTGCTTACAAGCTTAGTGTGATAGCAAGCAGATTATTCAATTCCAAAAAATGTTTTAACCCTATCAACTGGGAGGACTGCATCCACAAAACTAAATCCCACGGTGATGTTAAGCTCAAGGTTTCCCAGCATGCTGTAGGTGTTGTAGGGCCAACTAAATCCCCTAAGCCAAATATATCTTCTCAGGAAAAATAAAGCATTGGCACCAGTATCAAATTAGGCAACTATCCCATTACAAAAAGACTTTCCCAGAAAAACTACACTGTTAGCATAGCCACAGAACGGTCCGGAGGCCAAGGAATGCTGAGTAAGTTGAGGAAAAGATATTGGAAGCTAAGCAGAGCTCTATGAAAGCTAAAGAAAGTAATTCCTTGAAAGATACTGTGGAATAACTGCCTCCTTGTTTTTTCAAAACCTCATTGTCATTGTAGTCCTACCTCATTACCTCATAGTTACATCTTAATGATCTCACTGACAATGAAATGCCAGGCTGCTTTTTCCAATCACAGGTGTGTTGTAATTTGCAACTCTGACCCTCTTTAAGCCCATCTTTGCCTCCAGGATTAATTAAAATATTTATAACTAAACAACATTGTTGTCAAGTTAAACCTCAAGGGGGAAATCTCATATTTTACTCTGTTGTTAAGAAATTCTGTAAAAAAAAAATCACCTATACCAGAAAAGGAATTTCAATTTTTCAGTCCTCACACCTTTTTTTTCCATCTGACCTCTGTGCTAGACAGGGACATCCAGAGGGAGTAAACAAAAAGAACAAGTTGGCAGCCATAACCTTTTTTACAATCATTTCTGATACCAGGTTAAGCTGTTTGCTAGCTAATCCTACTGGCAGATATTGTTTGTTTGTTTTTCTCTGCATCTTTCTTACATGCTTTTGGTTTGATGGACAACATGATAGAAATTATGTTCATCAAAACAAAAATACTGTCAGTAAGATTGCTCATTAATTAATAATAAATAAATAAATAAATAATTTTTGAAAGACTTTCCAATAATGCATAACCTCAAACCCAACTCTTAAGGAGTCATATGCAATTTATAGGGAGAAAGGCTGTCAATTTTTTCTATACCTATTTAACCTAGTGACATATAAAAGCCTCCAGTGATGAAGCACCCACAACTTCTGAAGGCAAGCTATTCCACTGGTTAATTGTTCTCACTGTTCTCCTTAGTTCTAGGTTGCTTCTCTCCTTGATTAGTTTCCATCCATTGTTTCTTATCTTACCTTCTGGTGCTTTGGAAAATAGGCTGACTCTCTCTTTGTGGCAGCCCCTCAAATATTGGAACACTATCACATCACCCCAGTCCTTCTTTTTCTCTAGACTAGCCATACCCAATTCCTGCAATCATTCTTCATATATTTTAGTTTCCAGGCCCCTAAACATCTTTGTTGCTTTTCTCTGCACTCAACATCTTTTTTATAATGTGGTGACCAAAACTGGATGCAGTACTCCAGATGTGGTCTTACTAAGTTTTTATAAAGTGGTAGTAATACTTCATGTGATCTTGAGTCTATCCCTCTGTTTATGCAACCAAGGATTCCATTAGCTTTTTTGGCTGCTGTGGCACATTGCTGGCTGATATTTAAGTGATTGTCCACTAATACTCCAAGATCCCTTTCACAGTTACTGCTTTTGAACCAGGTTTCACCTGATCTGTATTTGTACATTTGGTTTTTCTTGTTTAAGTGTAAAACCTTACTTTTCTCTACGTTAAATTTCATTTTGTTGGATAGAGCCTAATCCTTACACCAATGACATTAGATTTACTTAGGTGTGTGAGGGTGTCTACCAACTGTGCAAGGGAAACCAATCTTCTACAGCAAATTCATGAATAATAAAAGAACTTTTATTATAAGGTTATAACTGAATCTTGCAACCCTGAAAGTGTCTGTTCCCTTCCTGCCTTTATCCTAAAGAGAACTATAGAGGGACCAGTTTGAGGTGATATTTCAAGTACCATTCATGCTTTGGGCTGGGAGTTCTCTTGTCTGGTTGTTGCCTTGGTTACAGACCTTTCTCCTCTTCCTCATGGTTATTTCCACAGCTCATGAGAGTATCACACTAATTTGTATATCATTTTAGGAATCTATGGCTCCACAGTCTTGCTCTAGTTTAATATTCTATCAGTTAAGATTTCATTGAATTTATTGGGAAGGGTGCTTTCATTACTCTGAAAATGAATCAACCTTACTAAGGTAAAAACATGTGTTAAACATTTATTGATATGTTATCCTTGTCATTATTTACGTACTTACTTTGGTTGTAAAAGAGCCAGTTTTTGAATAATGGTTTAACATTTGATCAATATGGAGGGTGTAGTAATCAACTGCATCCTTTTTAGTAGTCCAATAAAAAGATGTTTCTTCATTTCTTATCAATCTAGACTGGCCCAAAGAAGACTGTGTTATGTTTCCACATGGAAAATATTATCCACTTCATCCAATACTCTTTGATAACCCATCTCTGAATTGAACAAATCGAAGCAACACCTTTACTTCATTTTATAGGAATTCCTGTTTGTGCAGTAACTAAGGAACAAGAAGTTCCATGAGGATCCAAGGCTATAATTGTTACACAGAACAATAAAGCATGGAAAATTAATGGAAAGAGACATTCAAATTACAAGAAAAACCACATGGAAAGTGGAAAATATATATGATCTGGATTGAAATCAGGATTAGAATCAGATTCACCATAGAGCTTGACCTTCAAATCAATGCATATTGATTCCTAGGCTGCAAACATTATGATTATCTAAGAATAACTCCAGTTTATTTCTTTGTTAAATTTATAACCCTCTTTAATCATCAAAGGGTAATACATTCATAAAAAGTAATCAGTCATTAGTCTCTTTCACATGCATCAACTGTTCGAAACCTGTGTTCCTATGATGTAGGTGAACTTTTGTGAGTCTTTCAAGCTGAACCAATGAACTCAAAAAGTAATCACTTCAGATCATACTACAGAGAAAATGCTGTCCAGTTATTTGCTAGTATTTCTTCTAGAACTGCAGAGTAAGGAGTTGCATTTTAGGGCAATCAGAAGGACATTCTGATGAATCTACTACTCTCTCAACAATAGGTGGGTGCCTCTACCCTCAATGAAAATAAACTTGATGAGGTAATGAAAGGGTTGCGGAAATAGAGTGGTGGTGGTGGTGATGTCCATTTTTGTGTTCCACCAGCTGGGGACAAGGAAGAACTACTAATCAATTCAAGAAGATCCTTAGCAGCCAGGACAATAATGTAAGCATTATGGGCAGAATTGGCAGATGGGAATAGTGGCTATGTTACTGTTGTATGAAATGTCTTTTATAAAACTACAGTGGATTTCCATATGATCCATGAGTCTTGGCCAATTGCAGAATATGGGACTATATTAGAGACATATAGCTCAGAAGATCACCTGAAGACTTCAATTCACCTTTAAAGATATAATTTACAGTAATTAAACATTGCTAAGACACAAAAGCGAATGGAATTATTTTTATCAGAAAATTGGAGCCTCCAATCTGGCTGGGGAAAATATCTCACATCAGGATTCTGCCAAAATAAAAAGTAGATGACTTGCACGTGCAAATTTAAGCATATGATTAATATTACTGTACTTCTGGCTCATATATTGGGTGTCTTGGATGCTGTGAAAAAATATTAGTCTACTGAGACAGAATAAAGTATGTAACTGCTGCATGATTTCAACCAAAAAGATTCCTGTTTTATCTGTGCAGAACTGGATAGAGATAAGGCCAGAGAAACAAATCAAACTTAAGTGAGCGAGAGATAAAAATTCTGCTTGCATTTTTGTATCTGGTGCAATTGGATCCATGATATTCAATGATTCCCTCTTACATTAAGACCATAGAACAGGATTCAGATATTTATCTTAAAGCTGTAGTAGATTTTACAGATGCTAACAGTCTTGTAATGACCTGGTCCCAAAATGTTTAATGCTCATGAAAAACTTCCAAGCCAATCTTTTATTGTGCAATTGCTCTACCTTACAGTATTAATAGAATTATTCACAGGTCCTACAGTGTAATTTTCCATTAATAACCCTACTGAATCATCTTTCCCTCTACTTTTTCCCTCATTTTTTCACGCTGAAAAATCCACTTCAAGGGAAAGGCAGAATAACTACCCAACATCTTTTCTGTAGAAATACAAAGAACTGTACATTTGAAGTAGCCCATAGGGCCGTGGTGGCGAACCTATGGCACGTGTGCCACAGGTGGCACGCAGAGCCCTCTCTGTGGGCACGTGTGCCATCGCCCCAGTCTTAGGCCTTGAGTTGGGTTTTATAAAACCTTTTCGCTTTAGGCCTCTGCCGTCGTGTGCAAAAAAAAAAGGTTCATTCAATCAATCAATCAATTTCAACTTCTCAAGGGGAAAAAAAGATCTTGCAAAGTTGGAATTGATTGATTGAACTTTTTAGTCTCACCCAGTCTGCCGTTACTACCGCAGCCATGCCCACCCAATGGGCCACGCCCACCCAATGGGCCATGCCCACCCAATGGGCCACGCCCACTTTGCACCCGATGATACATAAGTGGGATGTGGGTTGCAGTTTGGGCACTCAGTCTCTAAAAGGATCTCCATCACTGCCATAGGGGCTATGTAAAGTGTCAGGATGAAATCACTAAAATACATGTGATTTGCTGACAAACTGAATTAGATTACCATGATGAATTAGACTGAAACCAATATATATATTGTTTTTCCTCTGCTGTGACATAGATTGATGGGGCTGAGAATCTACTTTCTGTACCAACAAAAATCCTAAAACTTACTATAACATGATTATCTCTATAATCTTACCATTATATCATGGATGTCATTTGAATTGCTTAAATGACTTTCTGCTTCATGCAATACAGTCTTGCTTTCTTAAAAAGTAAATATAAAAAGTTAAATAGGCTGCAGCAAAGCATATTGAAAATACATTATTGCTGTGAATTAAAAATTATGTAAGATTCAAATACAGTTAGTCTATAATAGAACATTGAAGTATATGTTAAATGTTTTTAATGTTAAAAAAGCTATATTCCCAACTATGAAAAGCCTTACTTCAGTAATATTTTCCAAAAAATGTTATTAGAAAAATCAAGTCATGAGATAGAATAATCAGAATTTTGTTGTCACCCCCCCACACACACACCAAATCTTTTTCCTAATGTCCAGATTCAGTTTTATATTGTAAAGCCATGTCATTGACTGTCATTAACTTCAAAATGAAAAGGCAAATTTGCCAATTGGAATGCTATTACTTGCTTTAACATTGAGGAGGAAAAAATCAAATTTGGTAGATATTTGTAGCCAAAAATGGCAGCAAAGAGATGGAGCAAATGTGAATCCAGTTGCAGTACATAATTGTCTAAATTTTTGTAACCCAGATATGGTAGGCTTCATTTAAAGGAAAATATAAAATGTATTCCCATTGTTTTGAACTGTAGTGCTGGCATAAATTACTGCATATACCATGGACCAGAGTAATTAACAGAAAGGTATTAAATTGTATAAAACCAGACACATCACTGGAAGCTAAAATCATAAGTCTACGTCTGATTTACTTTGGCCATGTTAATGCATACAAATTCATTGAAGAAGGCAATGATGTTGGGAACGATTAGTGGACAAAGAATAAGGGATAAGTAAAGAACATGCTGGTTTGATAACATCAAATCCGAAGCAAAGTTGATTATACAACAATTGAAAGAAGCTGCGCTTAAAGGATAGAGTCACCAAGAGTCAGACATGACTAAATGGTTAAAAACAAACATTTTCACTAACAGCTTACAATGTGTATTGTCTATAGCTTAAGCTGATCTTAACCAACCTTTTATTTTCCAATAGTTGCACTCATTCACAACATTCCCTGAACTGGTTCTTCTCCCTCTTCACCAATCAGATCAATTAAGAGCATTCTATAACCTCGCAATTGGTAAAGTTATCATCAAGGGAGAACACTAAATAAGAAACTAGCAATTTTCTGGCTTCTTAGGGCAAAGAGAGAAATATATCTGAAAAAGTATATGGACATAATATAAATCTCAAATAATTCATACATCCATGAGAATTATCTGCATTAATCAATCAATCAATCAATCAATCAATCAATCAATCAATCAGAATAGAGCTGAAGGGACCTTAGAGGTCTTCTAGTCCAGCCCTCTGCTCAAGCAGGAGTCCCTATATCATTTCAGAAAAGTGGCTGTCCAGTCTCCTCTTAAAAACCTCGAGTGATGAAGCACCCACAATGTCTAAAGTCAAACTGTTCCACTGGTTAATTGTCCTCACTGTTAGGAAGTTTCTCCTTAATTCCATGTTTAAGTGATCATCCACTACAACTCCAAGGTCCCTCTCACAGTTACTGTTTTTGAGCCAGGTTTCGCCTAATCTCTATTTATACCTTTGGTTTTTCCTGCCCAGGTGTAAGATCTTGCTTTTCTCTACATTAAATATCATTTTGTTAGATAGGGCCTATTGTTCAAGTCTGTCGGGATCTTTTTGGATCCTGAGCTTGTATTCTGGGGTATTGGCTATTCCTGCCAGGTTAGAGTCATTTGCAAATTTGATAAGATCCCCTTCTATTCCCTCATCTAAGTCATTTATGAAAATATTGAAGAGTACTGGGCCTAAGACAGAACCTTGTGGTACCCCACTGCTTACTTTCCTCCATGTAGATGTAGTACCATTAAGGACTACTCGTTGAGTATGGTTTGCCATTAAAGTTTACCAACCCTAAAAGTAGAGTAGAAAAACTTATTTCACATTCAAGCCAACTATTATACATTTCTAAGCAAATAAAAAGCAAGAAAGAAACCATGGTTAAAAGATCTGTTACCATTGTTAACACCGTTGTCACATTCTGCTTCATTCCCTTCATCTTTATGGTTCTGAATGTCAAATTTAAGAATATTCTTTCTTTCCACCCATCCTCTCTTTCTTAAAGAAGAGCGGATTACTGGGTAAGGACCACAGATGGTAAAAATTCTCCTTTCCTGAAATCATAAAGAAATGGGTTTCAGAGCCAATGTTAACATAAAGTAATAGTCAAACTAAATGTCTGCAATGATATGTTCTTCATCTTTGTATTTAGCTATTTTTTTTAAAAGTCTCTCTCAAAAATAAACTGCAATGCACAAAAAAACTACAAAGCTTTGATTGCACTATCATGACTGGCATCTTAACATTTTTTACCACACTGTGCAGATTCTCTGCCATCACTGTATTGCCCTCAATGCTTCCAAGCAAATTAATGTTGCTCTAAACTGGCTGGAGGCTCCATTGGACTTGGATAGCTTATCCAAGCCAAATAGTAGGCCAGGACGAAAACTTAATTTGAGAAAGGTTTTTTCCCTTTTTAAAAAAATTAAAATTGATTTCTGTAAAAATGTACATTTAATTAAAGTTAAACCTAATAAAATTACTCCCAGTGAGATGGTTAATAATTTACCTTCTGTTGTATAAAAATAACCTTTTAGTAACAACAGTTGGACATCCCTGAGACTGTCTCCAAGGATGTTGAGCCACTCATGACTCCATTTTAAATCCTGTCAACTTCCAGGTTGGGAGCCATCAGCATCATCTTGTTATTAATGTTGCTGGCTCTATATGTGTGCAACTATATTGTGCATTTTATGCCATGTATTTGTGTGAAAGTATGAACAAACATGTACAAAAGATGGGCTCCATGGCAGCCTCTCAAACAGGTGATAGATACAAAAGTTTTGTGATGGTAGATATCCTCTTCTTTTCCCCTGCCCTCAGCACATGAAAAACTATCAGAATGAGGACTCAAAAAAGACAACAACAAAAATGTAGTTCTCAAACAAGAGTTTCTATTGGTTCCGAGACACAAAGCAATTTTCAAAACCAGAGATGGTCTCATGTGAAATGAATGAGGTCGTGGCCCTCAAGTGGAAAAATATTAGAGGGGAGTGAAAAAAGTAGCAAGCTGATTTGACTGACTGATAATCATAAAGGTGGAGGGGAAACATAGTACTTGAGAGTCATCACAGAAAATAAGATATTCTGTATGGTGAGTGGGAAGGACTCTGTTTCTTACATCACAGACAGAGAAGAAATCATGCTCTGTTGAAGAAAATAAAATAATAACACATATGGTGCTGTGGACTAACTATAATAGGGAATGAGGAATCTGTGGCCTAAGTTGCTTAAGTGGAGTTTCCCAACAGCCCCAAGACTGATGGCCATACAGTATTAGGAATATTAGGAGTTATAGTTCAGCAGTACCTGAAAGAAGAGTCAGAGATTCCCTCTTCTGAGCTGCATGCAACTTTTACAGATAATAATCAGGAAACAAACATGTTTGAGTTTGGCAGAGAGCAGAGCTGCATATGCCATGATACTCTTGTTGTCCCCAAATCATCATGGCAATATACACAGAGGAATTTTGTCTGGATAAGGAAGAATCCCATCCTGACTAAGAAGCCTACACCTGGGCTTCTGTGTCTTTGACATTATTAGAAGCAGGTCTGGCATGGGTACTTTCCCTCTCATGTTCCATTTGCAATCAGCAAAAGACTAAAAAAAAAAGCACGCTAAGGAAAGCTAAATTTTCCTATTTATGTATAGGAGAATTGACATACTGACATGATTTCCCAATAGTATCATTTGATACTAAGGACATTTAGATCTTTTCAAACCTACTTCTGAATCTCTGTCTCTGTCTGTTGGAACCATGACACTCTGAACTCAGCAAAGCACTGAAGGGAGTCACTGAAGAATGAGATCTCAAAGCCAAACTAGACTGGCTCAGGCACTACCTCACCAACACATAATAGCAGTTTGCTGGGGTCAGAGAGCAAACTTGAAGAATTTTGAACAACAGTTGATTGAACCATCCTACAATAGATATACAGATATTATTCTTTTTCTCCCATTACCATCTCTGGATTAATTAGAAGATCTTGCAGACATTTGACACATCTGAAAACTTGGGAAAATGCACTGAAAAATTCCTTTTCAAATCACTTTAAAATCGGTGAAGAAAAAAATATTGGCATGATCCCAGCTTTTAAGAACCTTTTGGAAGAATGAAAAAATATAGACATTACACTGAGTGTGAAAAATGCCAACCCTATTCTCACTTTTGCCTCTATTTGCTCAGTGTAATATTTTCCCTTTTTTTTCTTATTTCAGGAACAGTAGTGCTGTACTTAATATGTTTGTGGAATATTTTTAAATGGTTTAATTCCAAAACTGAGTTAGACATGCTACAATACAAATACTATTTCAAAACGTTTGCTACTAAATATACCCTGATGGCTTTATCAGCTAAAAATCTTGCAAGCTTGTATTTGTCTATTTTGGGGGGAGGAGGCAATTCTTCCACTGATCTCGGAATGAACTCTAAAAATATAAAGAAAAAAACTATGTTATAAAAAGGGTTAAATAAAAGGAGAACAATGTAGAATTAGAAATGCATTGGAAAATAATGAGGTTATTTGGTAATTCTTATCATACACAAAACAGCTAAAGAATTTACAAAAGAAACACTTGAACATCTCATAGAGGGAAGCAAATATTCTCTGCACTACACTGTCTCCAGAATAATCAAAGACCTAATAATGGAAGATAAGAGTATGATTTCATTCAATGTCACAGCACTCTTTACATCCATAGACCCAGAACAAATGAATGAATCCATGGCAGCAGTACTGAACAACACACTTGACCAAATTCACTAAGATCAAAATGCCCAGAAATCATGGATCTTATCAACCTCTGCCTTACTACCTTTTCAGATAGATGGACACGTATACCTATAGGTTGGGCTGTTGGTTTGATCTCCAAGCTTGGCAATTTGGCTGTAAACATTTCATCTCCATTTGGGGGCATATCTTTAGTGCACTATGAATTGTGCACAATTCAAAGTGCACTGAAGATGTCCCCTCCCTGAATGGAGATGAAACGTTTGCAGCCAAATCACCAAGCTCGGAGATCGAACCAACAACACAACTACCATCCCAAGCTACTAATATTCAAACACATTTCAACCTACAAGTTAGAAGAACAACCATGGGATCCCCACTCTCTGGACTCACCCCAGAGACTGTAATGCAGCATCTAGACACTATAGCATTCCCATTCAATCAAAAGTATGGGTCTGGTATATGGATGACACCTTCATCATAATAAAAAGAGAAACAGCTAGAGAAGACACATGTACAATCAACATCATCTTCAAAGAAGTAAGATTCTCAAGGGAAGAAGAAAACAACAACACACTATCCTTCCTGGATATCCACATCAGCAGAGGAAATGGCAACAAATTAGAAATACAGCTCTGTAAAAAAAAACCCATTGAAGTGCTCCTCCACTAAAGAATCCAATCTACCTCAAGAGCAACTGTGTTAAGAACATTATTCAGAGAAGCACATATGCACTGCTACAACCCAGAACACCAGAAAAAGGAAACAGACCAACTATACAACATATTTTAATGAAATGGATTCCCACACAACTTCATCAAAAAGTGCCTGACCATTCAATTCACTACAGCACAACTAATAGAAGCTATGAAAAGGATAGCCCTACCATACATAAAAAAACCCTTCTCAGAAATAACTCACAGGCTATTACATCCTTTCAGCATCACTATAGCACACAACTCAAGTAAAACACTCCAAAATATCTTAAGTAAACCAAAACACCAGAAACCCAAGATGAAAAAACAGAAATTATTTACAACAGGCATGTCAAACTGCCAGCCCATGGGCCCAATGCATCACACTGAAACCACGCCCACCCCATTGCCGGCAATGGGGAAAAAGTCACGATACGCCATGCGATGTCACATGATGTCGTGAGTTTAACATGCCTGATCTACAACAAAGAGTGTAAGGACTGCAACAGCCAGACAGGCAGAAGACTAGCAAAGCACGTCCATGACACCAACTAGCAATCAAAAGATGTGATGAAAATTATTTAATTTCATAACTGATGAACAGACTCAACTGGAAACTTTGAGCATCCTAAACATGGCTTAAAAAAATCTATAGTATTCCTGGAAGCTTGGCACAAATGAGCCATCAACAGACACATAGAGATAAACCACATTTACATGCAATTCCTCCGAGACAATAAAAAAGCTAAAAGGGAGCAAAAAGACCAGAAGACATCATCTTCAGAATCCAACACCCAGGTAAACAGGGATTAACACTAGACAAACTATTAAGCAGACAAACAATCAAGAAGACAATAATAATCCTAATGAAGGAACTACCAACTCCCATTAACACTGGCAGGGCAAACTACTGTATATAAACAGGGAACAAACTCAACATTCACTAGTATTGACGATGTTACTTAGTTGGGTAATGAAACATCTGCAAATAAACAACCAAGTTCAGAGAGCACCAAAGACCCCATAATTCTTAGTCATATACATCATGGAGGCATATATAATCTGTATAGCAAAAGAAGCATTTATATTTAGCATTAGAATGCAGCATCAAGTATCTGCTCACAAATATAAATAAATCTTTCTAGCTGACCTCAGCCATGGTTCAACTTCCCTAAATGTAATCAGCATTAGAAATTATCAAAGCTAGAGAAGATTATCATTTTGTCTATCTGGACAATATGGATACTTAATTTGCAGCTTATTTTGGCCCTTTGAGAGTAAATGCCTATGGATATGAAGCGTGAGAATTCCCCAGCCACAAGCCTTAAAGTTGCCAAAGATGGAAACCCCTTGTCTATATAAATTTAGCCTCATATTTTCAGCAAGTATAATTACCCAAATTCATAGAAATTACAGTTTCCACCACTACATAAGCTTCCCTGAAATGTACAAACTCTGTTATGCTCTTCATCTTCCATATTTTTCAGTGGGGTTAGCAAAAAAGTAACATTTTTTTTAGTTTTTTTATTCTGCCTTTATTAATTTTATAAGCAGCAAACATACCTAATATTCCTTCCTCCTCCAATTTCCCCCATAACAACAACCCTGTGAGGTAGGTTGGGCTGAGAGAGAGTGATTGGCCCCAGAGTCACCCAGCAGGCTTTCATGTCTAAGATGGGACTAGAACTCACAGTCTCTTGGTTTCTAGCCCGGAGCCTTAACCACTAGATCAGGGGTAGGCAACCTTGGCTCTTTTATGACTCGTGGACTTCAACTCCCAGAATTCCTGAGCCAGTTATGCACTAGATCAGGGGTGTCAAACTGCCGGCCCGTGGGCCGGATGCATCATATGAAAGCCGCGCCCACCCCATTGCCGGCAATCACAAAACCGGCCCAATATGTTGCACGACGTCACGTGCCGTCGTGAATTTGACATGCTTGCACTAGATCAAACCATTTCCAAGTCTTTGAGAAAATTTCCCCAAGTCCTTCTTTCATCTTAGTATCTATCAGTATGGAATGAAGCTTTATTGCCTATTTCTTCTCTTGGAATGTTGCCATGGGAGATTATTGGAAACAAATGCACTTATAATGAGAGACATTCCATCTGAGAAGAGCTGAGAGTCAGAAATGTTGGCAGATCTTCTTTCAGAAAATGAAATGAAATGAAAGGAGGTTATTATTCTAAATTAATCTTACTTTTCCCCCCCCCCTCTTTTCTCATGCTTTCAAGCACATCATGCTAACAGTACAGGTAATGGCAATTGGGTACAGCAACTCCATTGCTAAGCAACATGATAATTAAATGAAACATGATGTGACCACACCTGACTTACAACATCAATTCCACTAGAGTCATTAGGTGAGGTGTCATGTCACTGTGACTTGTGACTTATTGGCCTCATTGACTTTGTCGGAAGTCAGCTGTAACACTCCAAAATGGCGATCACATGACTTGGGACAGTTAACTGTTATAAATCACACTGGTTGCCAACAGCCAAAATCCTGATGACAAGACCATGAAGATACTATGACTCCCGTAATTATGAGGACCAGCTATGAACCTACTTTTTCAGCATCATTGTAAGTTTGAATAGTCACTAAATAGGACAGTTATTAACTGAGGACTGCCCATAATGGGATGTAGCAAAGACGGATTATAAAATTTGTTTTAGGGACATTTTGCTCTTTGGATATTTGGTTTCTGACCACAGATAGGCATGTCTCCATAGATCTTATAAAAAGATAGCAACTTTTAATTTTCTAACTTCCTAATCTAGAGTCAGATTTTTTTGTCAAATGATTCCAGCCTCCACCTAAAGTACTCAGAGAAATTAGACCAGGAGGATGCAAAAGCAATGATGTTTCTCCTTCCCCTTATTGGCAGCTCTGTGGTTTTTAACCTTAATCATTCAGTTGTATGGACCTTAGGCCTAATCTAAATATTTTGTCAGAGTGGGAGTTGTGGTTGTGAGATACCTGATGGACCCAGTGGCTTCTTTGCTCCCTGTGTCCAACCAGTGGTCACACCTCAGTTACAGACTCCCTTGTGTTGGAGTATTTTGATACAGAAATGAACTAGCATTTTGCAGTGAGACAGAAAAAGGAATCTGATCTATGTTATACTCTCTGAAGTTGGAATCCTACAATGGTTGGGATCATAGGAGCACAGTCCAAAGCTCTAATTCTTTACTCTGGAGTCTTCAACCTTTTAGAGTTGGTGGACACATTTAGAATTCTGGTAAGAAGCTAGGAGCATTCTCACAAACGACTAGGGTAGGGGGTTGTAACTCATAAAATCACTGCCATGGGGACAGAGCAGTTGGAAAACATGGATTTAACAGAATGCTATCTCCCTCTGCCCTCTTCCATAGGACATTTTCTACTATCCATGCTTTAACTTTACAGTAACCCTTTTCTGGACATTTGGGTACACTTCCAAACTATGTATTAAGATGCAGCCCATCATCATTTTTTTTTTAAGAGTTTTGGCACGATTCAGGATCTATAGTTACAGTATTCCTGGAATAAATGAAGATGCTGCTGGAGGGCCTAAATATGGCAGCTTCTCATTCTTTTAATTATTTTTTTAAAATACAAAAGGGAACCAGAGGCGGACCTGTAAAAAAAAAATTGTACTGCAGCCAATTTGGTGTAGTGGTTAAGGCAATAGGCTAGAAATGGGGAAAATCTGAGCTCTAGTCCCACCATAAGCACAAAGCCATATGGGTGACCTTGGGCCAGTCAGTCTTTCTCAGTCCTAGGAAGAACACAAGGGCAATCCACTTTTTAATTTTACCAAGAAAACTGCAAGCACTAGTCCAGCAGTCACCAAGAGTCAAACTGACTTGAAGATAGATACACACAGTGCATACTGAAGACTCTGTTTTTGCTCCTTTGATCAGATACAATTGCTCTAATTTTCTTATACCATATATTTCCAACCAAAATGCACTGTGTGTGTTAATCAGCTCCCATGAAATATTTCACAATTTTTTTAAAAAATGAATGCTTAATATTCCAGTACATAGATACCGGAAACATACCTGGAAACATCCCATGGTGGCAGGAAACTACAGGAAGGCAATTGTCCAAAGCAATATTCAGGTTCTTTTCAGGCAAGAGTTCAGACTCTGTTAAACCTGATAGAAAATGAGCAAAACTTGTCAGATGAATGATGAATAGAAACTAGAATTGGAGTGCATTTTTACATATGTGGAATTAAACAAACTAATAGGCAGGCCTCCTCTGAATGCTCAAATCCGAGGCAAATTGGCATCTTGCCTACAGGGCAGAAGGTCTATAAATGTTCAATAAATTATGGTTTGTTGTACTATCAGCCAGATGTTTAGACTGGGTTTTCCATTTTTAGCCACCTGTTGAGTCCTTCCCAAGGACGTGGAATAGGCCAATGGTGTTTGTTGATGGTGTTAAAGATATTGTCACAGGATGTAAGCTGTTCCAAGTAAAGCTGCCTTTTGCAATTGACTGATGGTGATTTTGTCAGTGCTGATTGTGTTCAAGTAATGCTTCAGTTGTTTTGGGATTTCATCCAAGGTGTCAATTACCATTAGTAGTATTTTTGCTTCCTTTTGCCACAATCATTCTATTTCTGCTTGCAGCTCTTTCTATTCTATGATTTTCTTCAATTCTTTCTCTTCTGTTCTGCTGTCTTGAGGTACTGCCACATCAATCCAGACTTTTTTTGTCTTTCTTATCAATAATTGTTAAGTCTGGGGTGTTATGTGACGGGTGCTTATCTATTCAGATTCTAAACTCTCAGAGCACTTTAGCTTCTTCATTTTCTATTACTTTCTCTATTTTATAGTCTTGTCACTTCCTACTTGCAGGCAAATGGTATTTTTTGCAGATATTCTAATGCACCATGGTTGCTACTTTGTCATGCTGTTATTATTGATTATGCTGAACCATAGTCTGGCAACAACCTTTCTCTGCCTTGTTCCCATGATATTACTTCCATCTCATGGCAAAACCATGAGGGAGACTCCTTAGGTAGCCCCAGCTACACCTGTGTTACTATAATGTCATTCCCTCTTCAGCCAACAGCATCCGTGGCAGTTGCATGGGGGATAATAACATTGGAAATGAAGTCAGGTGACCAGTAATGGCTGGGATCACAGTAGAGTAGGGGTTCCCAACCCCCAGTCTGTAGACCAGTACCGGGCCACGGCATGCCAGCAACTGGTCTGCACAAACAAACAAAGCCCCATCAGTGGAATGCAGGCAGCACACAAAACCATGCCCTCTCCAGTCCGTGGAAAAACCTTTCTCCACAGAACCAGTCCCTGGTGCCCAAAAGGTTGGGGACCTCTGCAGTAGAGCTTATTTTCTGCTTCACTGGGCATGTCCCCTGCATTTCAGAGTCTGATAAGCCTAGCCTACTGCCTTTTTGCTATCTTCTTCCTGAAATACTGCTAAACCAGTCTTCCATACCTGTTTCCTCATCTTTCTGATGTTAGAATTTTTAAGATTGGAAAAGACTATAGAAACTCTTGGGAGGAGAAGATTTCTAAGAATCTTTGGAATTTTTCTTTATTTTCAGAAAGGCAAATTGAAGATACCTTAGGACCCCTTAAATGTTTTAATTACTTCACTTGTCATATACACTGGAGGGTAAACTACTAGATGGCATGTTCCATAATTATTTTAAACCAAATGTCCATTTACTGTGATCTAGAATTCCATCTCTTGCAATAGCTAACCCAGTAGCTCATATGGACACATCCTAAAATACAAAATAATCTTATACATCTTTATGTGGGAGCATGGAAATATGTCCTGTAGGATTGAACTGAACCTATATCTCTGCATACAATCATTTATCATCTTCTTAGGACACTTATTTATGGAAAGCTGTATGATCCTCAGTGGAACTACATCTATGTGGAGGGAAGCATGCAATGAGGTACCACAAGGTTCTGTCTTGAACCCAGTACTATTCAATATCATCTAGATCATCCCACCTAGATGAGGGATGAAGGGGCACTCATCAAATTTGTGGATGACACTAAGCTGGAGTATATTGCTAACACTTTGGAAGGCAGACTCAAAATTCAGAAGGATCTTGACAGACTTGGGCATTCAGCCCTTTCCAACAAGATACAGTTCAGTGGTGAGAAAAGTAAGTTCCTCCACTTATGCAGGAAAATCCAAATGCACAGACACAGACTAGGCAGTACCTGGCTCAACAGTAGTACTTCTGAGGGGAATCTAGATGTCCTAGTGGACTACCACTTAAGGATGATCCAGCAGTGAGCTGCAGCTGCCAAAATAAATCAATGCAGTCCTAGGCTGCATTAGCAGAGGAATAGAATCAAGATCACGAGAACTGATAGTACTGCACTAATAGTCCACACTTGGAATACTGCATCAAGTTCTGGTTGCCATGATACAAAAAAGATGCTACGGACCTAGAAAGAGTTAAAGAAGAGTAACAAAGATAAGAGGTCTGGAAGCTAACTGTATAATGAATGGCTACGGGAACTAGGTATGTTTAGCCTTAGAAGAAAAGGATTAAAGGTGACATGATAGCCATCTTCTAATACTTGAAAGGCTGTCACAGGAAAGAGTGGCAGTACAAGAGGCAATGAGCAATGAAGGCAGTACAATAAGCAATGAGTGGAAGCTTATCACAGGAAGATCCAAACTGGGACTAAGGATAAATTTCCTGACAGTGAGAACAATTAGTCAGTGGAACAGCTTGCTTGGGTTCTCCATCACTGAGGTTTTTTTAAGATTAGACAACTATTTGTACAGGATAGAATAAGGACTCCTGCCCTGGGCAGAAGGTTAGACTAAAAGACCTCCACAATCCCTCACAGCTCTATGATTCTATGATACTCTATACTACATAATTAAGGATTCTGATAAACTTACTCCAAAGTAGAAAGTAGGTTGGAGTTCACTGTAAGAGTTTATGTCTTCAGCTATATTTAGTTTGATTATGTGCTATCAAGATGGTATGAACTCTTACTCACCATATCCAGGTGGATCTGTTCCCAACCTGGTCCTTCATGTCTTCCAACAGTGCACATAGTGCTGCTACAATTGAGTCCAACCACATTGATGCTAATCACCTCGTTTCCTGCCACTTTTTTCTTAGACTAGAGGACATCCAAGATCCCTCCCAGCCTAATGAGTCTATGAGCATTATAGACTTCTCCAAGTCTTTGCATAACATGTCTAAAATATAATAATTTGAATCTGATTATTTGCACCTTGAGTGAGAACTCTGGTTGATTTGATCCATTTGTTTGTTTTCTTGGTTATCAGTGTTTTTTCTTAGGAATCTTCTCCAACACCAATGTTTAAAAGTTCACTCTACTCTGATACCCTACTTTCTGCCTTACTTCTTCAAAGCCCATTAACCAAGTTCAACTCTGGATATAGTTTAAAGGAGTTGAACTGATGGTTATTAGAATACCAATAGTAAAAAGGAGTCAGAAATAGAATTTCATGGGATTCATTGATTCCTGATTCATCTTACTGAAGCAGTGAAATAAGACTACTTCACCACAGCAGGTGAATAATAAATATATTAATTAGGATTAGTTCTTATTGGTTGGTTCTCTTGCTACAAAAAGATACCATTTAGAGAATGATTAGGGTATCAGGCTAGAAACCAGAGAACATGAATTTTGGTCCTGTCTTAGGCATAAAGCCAGCTGGGATCTTTGGGCCACTCACTCACTCTCAGCCCTAAGACAAATCACTTTCAAAATCTTGCCAACAAAACTGACCGGACTTGTCCAGACAGTCACCAGGAGTCAAGACTGACTTAAACGCATAAAATAAAATCTGTTGAACTGCTAGTGACATGGAAATACCATTTTATGTATAGATCAGAGCATTCTGACAACAGAGTATTCAACATCTTAATACTTTGCCAACTGTATCTTTGAAGGATGGAAATGAAGGATACAAGTATCTCCCCATCCTCCTAAAGGAATTTAGAATTTTTTATCTTCTCTTGCAATCAGTGGGAAGATTTGTATTTAGATCAAAGGAACAACTAGCCTAAATTTTCCCCTGACCAAATTCCTTCATTTCCTGCTATCTAACAGGATATGCCCCCTTTTTCTGATCTTGGGAAGTGTTACCTGCACTAAATGACACAGAAGTGAGACAGAAGATCAGATATTTCCCTCTGAAGTTGAAATCAGGTTTCTGACTTTGAGTGTGGAATTGAAGGGGATGATCTTTTAAGGGTCATGTAATTATCCAGTCATTTCCCTGTTTTGCTTTTAATACCCCCCTTCCCACAACCCCATTAATAAACCCCAGTGCTGTAATTTGTAAACACTAACTATTTTCTCCTTCATGTTTTGTTTCTTCGTTTTTAGATTTTCTTTCTACATGAAGCCGGTTCATCCTGTCATTGTTGCTTCACTGTTTTGTCACAGTCCTGCCAATGGAGAAATATTACAACCTTAATACTATATTTCAACCAAAAGGTACAAGCAGCAGTTATTCAAGAAAATGAAATATTTAAAAAATCCTTTTTTAAGGTATGGCTAAATCTCTCCTTAACTTTTCTGTCCACTACCAAATATATGATTTTAACTGTGAACTTCTAAACATATGGTTTTCATGGAATACTTTACTTGTAGTCCTTAAACTGATCTGTCATGGTTGTCAGGAGAAGCAAACATCATCTTTAGTTACTTCCAAACAATATGTACCATCAATACATATTATCACTAGAAACAAATGGAAACCCTGTTTATGCTTAACCACACCATTTATGTGAATTGATATGAAAAACCCAAAGTGTAATTTGTCGTTCATGAATACCTGAGCTGCTAAATCATTTTACAAGGTTCTGATGCATATCCTAGGAATATGTAGTCAATCAGTCTCTTTTTTCATGTCATCTTTCTTTCATTATCAAGTACTTACTAGACTTTCAAAAGGGCCCCTAGATTGGCATTCTGGCTATTCGCTTTCCATTTTGTCTTACCCTCCTGGAAGCAGCTGAGGTCCTCTACCTGGTGACACCTGAGACTTCTCCTTTAATCCTCCCCTTACAAAGGGTTACATTGCTCCTTACACCTAACTACCATTGTGACCTCTGTAGGCATGCAACCTTGTGCATTGTGGGTAGGGAATTGTACATAAAGCAAACATATTTGTGAAAGGGGTAAACTATGGATTATTATTTTTTTAGTGATTAAGATCCAGTCTCGGTGGCAATAAATGCATTGTTACACAGTTTTGTATTAAGAATCCTGAAAAGGAATAGGAATTGCACAAGTATATTAAAGTATGAATCAGCTCAATTTCAAACGCATGTTCCTTGCTGCCCACAGTACACGCATCTAAGCATTTTTTTTCATCACACCTGTTCCAATCCTGGCTTGATTCCTTTCTAAGTCCATAATCCATACTCTAGGACTGTTTTTGTAATATTGCACAAGTATCAGTTGTTACACATTGGATTACCAATATCCTGTTGAGGAATGCTTAATTTTGATACAGAAGTTTGTGTTTTTGTTGCTGGCTATTACTGTAACTGGAAAGGTATATTCTTCATGTTACCGTAATTATTAAACTTGTCTTCTGCAGCAGAAACCTTCATTCTGCTTTCAAAGTTTTCATCTAGCATTTGAGATGAATTCATTAGCACATAGAAACATTTTTGGAATGTTTGATACAAAAATTAGTTAAACTTCTACACACTTTTCTTTCTTTTCCTGTAAGAGATTTATGATGTAACATAAAAAAGGGGTATGATAAACCAGAATTTGTTTTGATTTAGGGTTTTGTCTTGTTTTTTGTTAGTACACATTCAGACCTTCATTGTCATATTCTTAACTTACAACCACAATTGAGCCCAAAATTTATGTTGCTAAATGAGAAATTTGTTAAGTGAGTTTTGCCCCATTTTACAACTTTCCTTGACATATTTGTTAAATGAATCACTGCAGTTGTTAATTTAGTAGCACCATTGTTAAGTGAATATGGTTTCCCTATTGACTTTGCTTGTCAGAAGGTCGCAAAAGGTGATCATATGACCCTGGACGCAGTAACTGTCATAAATGTGAGTCAGCTGTCAAATGTCCAAATGTAAATGACATGACCATGGGGATGCTGCAGTGTGAAAAATGTTCATAAGTCATTTTTTCAGTTGCCATTATAACTTTGAACAGTCACTAAGCGATTGTTGTAAGTCAAGGACTACCTGTTCTAAATATTGTTGAAGTAAGACGCCTATGACCATATTTAAGAATGTCCATGTTTAAGTTTATTCATGACTGATTGTTTTATACTTTATTCGTATTTTTTTGAGTTCCAGAACAAATTTGTCTGATACTACTGATGCTTTTAGCATTTTCTTTCTTTTGAATGTACATATACAGTACTTCAAACCCAGGAGCAGGCTGTAATATAAACATTTGATCCCGTTATTACTACTATAATTGCTACTGTTTAGAAAAATCAGATAGACACAGCATCTTCTATAATTAAATTCTAATGATTACGAAGTATAAAGTGCATCAGACATCATTACTCTTTTCGCATAATATAATTTGTTTAAACTGTGTATTTTCCAGTTCATTTCTGTGCACAGTTTAGAGTTCTCATTATTTTCAGCAAGATTTTCTCTGATTTGAAAGCAGAATATCAAAAAGTGCTGCCTTTGTCAATTGACACTACTTATCCTCTAAGGTAGAGTTCCCCAGCCTTTTGGGCATCAGGGACCAGTTCCATGGAGAAAGGTTTTTCCACGGACCACAGGGGGGCATGGTTTTGTGTGCTGCCTGCATCCTGTGGATGGGGCTTTGCTTGTTTGTGTGACCTGGTACCTGGCATGCCGCGGCCCAGTACCGGTCCATGGACCAGGAGTTGGGGACCACTGCTCTAAGGCCTTATCTCACATTCTCTATCACTGGAGTTAGGGATGACTGGGACCCAGGAATTACCTTTTTCAAAAGTGACATCTGAGCCATGAAAATAACTGGAGTGTAAGTTTGGTTAGCATACTCTCTTATTGCTTTCTTGGACATAATCCATACATCAGTCAGGAGGGTCAGATATTTTCCAGCTATCAACATTAGCTTTTTTAATATATTACCATATATTAGTACTGAACTATTATAAGACCATCGTATTAAAAATAGAATTTGGTACAGAAATGGATAATTAAGGTGAAAAACTCTGAACACTGAAGCTGTTTCAGTTTTAAGACCCCCATAAAGTTGTGTAATACAAAATCAATAGGCTGTAGCCTGATACTTCTTTCCAGGATGACAAATGATTTGAAATTTCATGACAAATGAAAGAAACCTGTTACTACTTTAGAAACCACAAAAAGAAAATGACTCATCTAAAAATATGGCTAGATCTCCACAGTCCCAATTCCCACTGACAATTGTGGCTGTATTTTTTTAATCAAAGTTGTTAGCTAAAGTAGAAACAAGTCATATTTCAAAATTATCAACGTTTTTAAAAAATCCTGGTTCCTTTTAGCTGATTCTGCCTTATATTCTTGAGCATTTATCAAAGTAGTAGATTGAACACAAAAGTAAATCAAAAACATGCATAATCATTTACTGCACTCAATAACCTCATGATTTCAGACTTACAGATTTCTGGGTTTCTGCCCTAACCAAACACGACTTTATTCATTTTCTTCTTTTGATAGATTACACTATGTGAAAACCACATTATTGTCTTGTATAATCTATGAATGAAGCATTATGTGTTCCTGTGATCACATCTACAAGTGACATCTATCAGAAATTGTGATATTTCTGTGATTTTAGTTAAAGCAACATCAATCCAATGAGAAGAATTGGTTTCCAATAAAGATTTTTATTTTATCCAAAAGTAAAAACAAGTTTAACTTTTAAAAAAACAATCAGCAAAAGATTACAGGTAAAATATATTTGTTACAAACTTGCTTAAAATTTTATACCAGTTAAATACCAGCAATTATATTAGTTTCTTGCAATAACAAAACTAATTGCATTAACTGTTCATGTGGTCAAAATATTTAATTAACAATGGTACTGTTTAAAACCACAGTTTGTAAAGAAAAAAAGTTACTGAAATCAAGATGAACTAAAATCAAATACGTGTACTATTAGAACAATCTATTACTTTTAAAGGATGTTATTGTTTATTGAAAATATTCTGATGCAAGAATTGTTTTCAAGCCATTCTGGTCAATGGAGTTGCTATGAAATTAGTTGCTTTGCATTTAATACCACAGCCCTTGTATACAAACATTATTTAGCCCTACAATTTCCCTGGTTCAGTTTCCCAAGTGCAGATTACTGAGCCATCTGCACTACAACAGCTTTCCAAGCTTTCTCTTTGTCAAAATCCTTCATGCTGTTATTGGAGACCTAAAACAAAAAAAAAAGATGTCAAGGAATGGAACACAGAACAAAATGCAGAAGAATCCATAATAATAATGGGTCATGATTTAATGAGTTAGATAAATTGATTACATATTTCCATCATTATAAATACCATAACTCCCTAATTCATCAGTTTCATCAGGGCCACAAGAGAATTTTAACTTTTTCTACTATTTTCCTGAACAAACCTTCTATTTGCTCTAATTTTGAAGCACAAATGTCAGCTTTCTTCCCGAGGCAAATTAAAGTAAATTTCAGGATGCCAATTCAATTTATAAAATAGCATTTAAGAAATGCTTTAAATCCTTTTCTATACACCACTGTTTCAGGCCTTCTGCTACATTAAAAAGATACAGAAAAAATGTAAGTGTGAATCTGCCCTGTATTGTTTGATTCATAAATACATGAGGCAATAAGTGCACAGATATATTTCTTTAGCTATGATGCATGTAGTACCATTAGATATAATTGCATAAAACATTTTAAGGTATTCTTATGGGATTGATCTATGAAACAGATGAAGTTGCTAGATATTGACACATGCATGTCAAAAAGAATTGTAGATGTAAAATATTCTGCACATTTTAATGAATAATTATGTCAAGCTGTACATGGATACCACCATTCAACAATTTTGGGAGCAATAAGATTTAAATTATTAACAATATTCTTTTATGAAATTTAATCTGTAAATATTGCTCACCTCTGTTGTTTTGTATTCTTGTTTGTTTGTTAGTGGCCCCACCCATAACGAATCATGCATTTTCATTTTTGCTTTAAAATTTACACAGAGTATGACTGTCCCAGTTGTCAGAAATGCTTGAACTAACAGCATCAGCATTAGAAGCAAGAGCAGCACATCATAAGACTGCTAAAAATAACAGATATATAAAACAAGTTTTAATTATCCTGAACATTATGTACTTTTCTATCTCAAAATGTCATTTTTGCTAGAGGCATTTTGGTTGATTTAGTTGGTGCCTTTGAGTTGATTCTTGGTGACTGTCTGGACTAGTCCCTGCAGTTTTTTTAATTATATTTTTTAAAGTGGTTTCTTCTTGTCTACTACCTAGGGTAAGAGAGAGTGACTGGCCCAAGGTCCCCCAACTGGGTTTGTGCTTAAGGCAACTCTAAAATTTACAGTTTCCTAGTTTTTAGCCTGAAACTTTAATGACTACATCAAACTGGCTCTAGAGGGGTGTATTAGGCTCTAGCAATTCTATACATAGCAATTGAGATTCAAAGATCATTCATTTTTCAAGTTGCATAATTAAGAATTTTCGTATTCCTAAAGGCTAATTTAATATCTTTTGTTATCATTTCTTAGCAAGAGTTTACTAAGTATGAAATACAAGGACTCATCAATCTTTACATACTATAAACACACACATATGCATATACATATATAAACCTTTGTGTTGTTACATGTTAAATTGAACATTTAGATTGTCTTTTAGTTTGTCTTTGAAAACAAAAAAAGAGCTTCTATCCTGTAGAAAATAAAGTAGTGGCTTATCTTTAGTTTCTTACAGAATTCTGAATTCTGCAACACAGTGTTATAGTATGTTTAATCCAAGAAAGACAAACTAGGAGTAAATTTGTTCTTTTTAACAGGGTCATTAAAACCCAGATAAATAAGCTTTGGTGCAGGCAACACCCTTCTTTACCTGAACAAATGTAGGTTTCATATAGTAACATATTTAAAAATTATGAATACACTTTCCTAAAATTTAATTCTTGTGTCTAAAACATTTACATTGGACATCTGTGGTTAGAAATACTAGCACATGTTACCACGGCTGACAAGAAGAAACTTGTGAGTGATTGAAATTCTTTCCTGAAATGAATGTCTTTGGCAGTATGCAAATATGCAAATATTTTCCCTGTTGATACATAAATTGATTTCAATCAACTGATAAATATCTCTAAAACATTACAAAAACAATAAATTCCATGTTCACTAGTCTTGACTTGGTCTCCATCAGTTTCTCTAAAATTCTGTGTTAACTAGTAGACCTGCAGCCAACTATTTTCTGGTTAATTTAAATGTTTTCAACTTTTCATTTTTGATTTTCTGTCCTTTTAGTTCCTAGCTCACATTTTCTAATTGTAATCTCCAAAATCCTTATAATACACAACGTTCTATGAATTGCTACTTCTGTTTCAAAATGCTTTAAAATCACATTCGTTTTAATAAATCACAGAATTTCTTTCATTACAAATCAGTTATTTGCACAGAATATTATGACCTATATACAATATTCATAAAAGCTTATTATGCATTAATAGCTAAAAAAATAAAACATACTTGAACTGTTGGTGGATAATTTTTAATCATGTCCACAATGCGCATTATACTGAAAGACAAGTATCCTGAAGCTGTGAATAACAAGGGTGATGTAACACTGCTTATGGCAATAAGAACTTCCACCTAAATTAAAGATAAAATTGTGAAAAATACAGTTGCAAAGAAGAAATATCCATAAATGTGTGCCTTTTTATGTCATCAGAAGTGTTATACTATTATTTTTATTTACACAAATATTTTAATTAAGCTATAATCATAGAGAAATTACCAATGAATATTAAAAATTAACACATAAATATTTCAGATATTATATTAAAATGTATATTCAAAGCTACAAAGTGGCTGAAAACAGGAATCAGGACTTAGTACTAAGCTCAATTGAAGTTCTGACAGCAATCATTCAATGGATGACAAGGAAGTACAATAATATACATTGTGACTGGACTAGTACTTTACTCAGCTTGCAAGCCTGTACATACCTGAGCACGCAATGGATGCTGTTTTGCATATGCTATTAAATTATTTAAGGTGTCCCTGTTTTTAATATGTCAGTGATGTCAGGGCAAGGTGTGGGGAGGAATAAAACAAGTCAAATTGGCATTCAGGACAGCCCAGTCAAAATCCCATTCCTTTTGTACGTGCATCTACATTGCATACATATTGAAAGGAGCAGGGCTTCAATTAGACTGTTGCAATTGCCATTTTGATTTTTTTTGACAATATCCTGCTAGCGTCCATCATAACATAAATTACAGAAGAGATGCATAACTAATAATGTAACAATGGAGCCATGCAAAAGAACAGATTGAAAATAAAAATAATGAAGTTTGAAACTGTACATTGAATAAGAACTGAAGAACAGAAACAAGTACTACGATTCTAAAGAGTTACAAGAAACGGAGACTGAAATGTTTGAAGATGAAAAAATATAAAACCATTTTGTCCCATTAATCACATTTGGACACATTGTTTAATTGTATAAAATCCCGTTCAGCCATTTTCTTCAGCAATTCTTGTGAGATCAGTTTCCACATGGCCCCAATAATGGTCCATTAAGTTATCTTCTTAAATTTTATGAAATAAAAAGATAACTTTTTGCTCAGTGAAAAGGAAGATCTCAAATAGTTCAGCAATACCTTTATTGGGCCAATAGGCATCCTACGATATCTCCCAAATAAAAGTGTTTCCCAGTTGGGCATTGTATGAAAACAGAAAATACATTTGAGGTAAAAACCACAAGACTAATACAGAGTTTGGTTTAAATGATTTAGAGGCTACTATCTGTTACCATTTAATTATTTTAACAATGTACTCACCAAGCATTTGCTTGGATATTCAGCAGCAACATGACTTGCAATAGCACTGGGAAAACACTAAGAAAAATAAATAAATATGACAAAATGTTCAGAGTAAGAACCATTGAAAGCTATACTTCAAGAGAACAGTAGATCCTTCTATGATGTACATTCACAACTTTGGTTTTTGTACCCAAGCTCAGAGAAAAAAAAAATCTCATGCCTAGTTGAAGCTTTTCTATTCTTGACATGCTATGGACTAAGAATGAATCTTTATTATATACAAAGACTGAAGCCACTTCCAACAACAGATTGCCCTCTATGCAAATGAAGTGTAGTCCATTCTTAAAATCTTATGTTTTAACTGACTACAGATTGCTCTCATCTTACAACCATTCATTTGGTGATTTGGAATTACGATGGCCATGGAAAGGATGACTGCACCGCCACCCACCCCCATGGTCATGCGATCACAATCTGAGTGCTTGATATCCTGTTCAAACATATGACCAGTTGTCAAGGGCCCCATGATCATATGATCATATTTGAAGTCTTTTCTGCTGGCTTTTCCCCCAGAAAGTCAATGGGGAAGTCAGCAGGGAAGGTTGCAATCTGCTGCCATTTGCCGAGAGGATTCCCTCTCATCTCTGGGGGATGGCTAAAACAACTGCCTGCTGAAGGGAGCCAAATTCCTTTGAGAGGGTATAGAAACAACCTCCATTCCTGCATCCTGCGAAACGAGTTCCCTTCTGCATACGGAGGCGATCTCAACTCCTTTGGTGAGGTGCAGAAATGAACTCAAATATTAAAAATCTGCACTACATTCCTGCATCCCACCAAAGGAGTTCCCTTCCCTACATGAAGGGAGTGAAGCTGAATTCTTCAGCAGGCAACTCTTTCAGCCAGCCCCCAGAGACAGAGGGAACCAAAATCCAAGCAGAGTGCAGCAAGACAGTGCAGTAAAGTAAAGAATGTGGAGTGCCTCAGGCAGGTGGGGGAGGCCCTGGAAGACCCAATGCAGGCCACTCACAAGTGTATCTTTGCTCAAATCCTGTTTGAGTTTCAGAGTGGAGGATTTTCAGTTCCTGAGCCAAGACTCCCAAGGTCTCCTCTACCACTGAAGCATCCCACACTGCTTCTCTGGGACACTGTCCACTTAACATCCTACAAGATCACTTAACTATTGCAACTGGGAATGCCAGGATTGTGGTCACTGAGCAAAGCAGGCACATGTGTCTTGATTAACAACCACTTCATTCAACCATCAAGATTCCCGTCCCAATTGTGATCCTAGGTTAAGGGTTACCTGTATGTCTCTCATTGCTTAATGGAAGGCCACTTGGTGAATCTCATGCCTAGTGCTGGGTGTGACTGTTGTTTGCTGACATTTTCAGCATCCATAGCCTGGGAAATTCTCCCAGCCAATCTCCTATTGGCTTTCCATCGTGGGAAGATACTATATCTAACTCATATATGAAGCAATTAATTTTGTTTACTATCAAAATATATATTTAACAAGCTATATATTATTTGCTTCAAGTCTCATTCCCAAACATTGTACATCTTTTTGAGACAAGAGTTTCAAGTAAATTAAAAATAGATGGAAATTACCTACAAAGGATAAGGATTCCTTTTTATTACTTTGTTGTACAGTGGGATTCAATGATGTCCTCCAATCATATTTGTAGAGACAAGTTATTGGAAATATTAAAGGTAGTTTACAGATAGTATAAAAGGATATGACAGTAATTGTTCATTGTTAACAAGAGTTTGAAATGAAAATAAAAATAAGCTATATTCAATTGAGTGCTACTTACAGCAACTAAGATCCAAAAAAAAGTGACCGAAAGGTATGGGCCAGAAATTAGCACATCCATATTCAAGGCAATTATTCCTCCAAACACTGCAGAAATTCCAATAATTACTTCTACCACCTTTAAAAAATAATAATATGATTGGAATTTGATTATAGTAACAAAGTCCTAAAAGATTCCTCAAGAACAATAATATAATTTCCTTACCGAATAAGATTTTAGGATCCGTATTGGGAAGTTGACATTATTCAATGTGCTAGTAGTATCATAAATAATTGTCTAAAAGGGAAAATATGATCAAAATAAGAAAGCAACAATATCAAACATTAACAATCTACTGAAGCTATTGACAGAATTATACTGTTAATGTTTTACCATATAGTATGAATATATTGAGAAAAGAAGGTTCTTATGTTTAAAATCATGGCATCGTGCATATTCATGTTTTGTGGTAAATATGAACATGATCCATTCTTCATCAACATCATCAATACATGAATAAAAATCGCACATATTTTCTATACAGCCTTTAGAAGGCTCTTAGGAATGTTTAAACAGAATTGTATGTTTCTTACAAAGTATGCCTGCTAGTGGAAAATATTCCAAATGTGATCAAGATAATAGTTTCTTTAAGGTCGGATGACTATTCAGAATCTGAAAGCAACAGTCTTGAAAAAAAAAATCTGTGAGACAAAATTAAGACACAAAACTGGATGTTCAGAAATGCACTAGTCTAAGAAACTGTGACAGTGGATTGTTCAATATAACTATTCCACAAACCCTAGAGGAACACTATGGAGTTGGCTGTTATAACATTATGTTATAACAGCTATCATCTGGCAACAACTATTCTAACACAAGTAACTGCAGAGCAGAAGAAGCTGTTTCATACCTACTTAATACTTCCCAGTTGGCAGCCATTCCAGAAAGCTTATTCTTTCCTGTTGAACACTAATAAGAATGCTTTTTTTTCAAAAGATGTCTGACCTTCTTTCCCTGCCCTCTCCCTACTTTTCCTCTACCTGTTTTAAAATTATAAATCTCAGGTCGGTATTGTTATAATAAAGATTGCTGTAAGTCACCTTAAAAACCCATTTGGCTAAACAGTGAAGCAAGAATGTTTTAATGCAAGCATGTACTTTGAGGTATTGCAAGCCATTATATATAACTTTCAAAACATTTTGTTAGTAGATTTGGTTAAAAAATGCATACTGATATATTTTGCAAGAACTTTCTCAATGCTTTGGACTGAAGCTTTACATTTTTTTCCCTCACAGAATAAGTGCCCTGCCTCACATAAGGCATCTCTAGACTCAATCTTGGTTGGTTAAGTAGAAGATATGATTTAAAACTGTAACTTTGTTCCACTGAAAAATTATGAGCAAAATACAGATCACAGCCTCCTTATAATATTTCAAAATGCACAAACACTAAATTATGTATACACTGTATATACTGTGTATAGATACATATATACACACACACATACATATATGCATGCTAGCATAACTACAGATATTGCTAGTGTTGTATTATGTGAGGTTTGAGATACACAAATACATTCACAACAAAATGATTAAGACAGAATTTCTTGTAAAATTACAATATGGTTGTGGACTTTACATTTAAGAAAAATGCATTATTTCAAAAGAAAAGCAAGTTTCTGATTTTAAGGTCAGCCATAGTTGTACACAAAAATATAATATATATATAAATTATAGAAATTAGAGGAAATGGTTATCATATGTTTCTATAAGTTATATTTTAAAGAAAGTGTGACTCAAAGAGCAAGTTCCAATAGCATAGACAGAAGAGAATATTGACTATATTGTTTTAATTAACAGGGAATATATTCTCCGAATCATTATATACAAATAAACAAATTATTCTCATTTGGAAAAAGGGGTATACAATATATATTGAAATAAGGCAGAATTGCCTCAGGCTAGATAGACAGCATGCAAAATAAATAAATAAATGCATACATACATGCATACATACATACATACATATATAAAAACTATATTAAAAATACTAAAAGTCAGCCTTACTCTTTTCTTCCTGCAGCATTCCTCATTAGATCTAGCAGATATTATTACAGTAGTTGCCATGAAAACCTCTAGCAGAATCAGGAGAATCAGGTTGAAATTTATCTGTCAGTAAAATGTTTTAAATAATTTATATTAACATTAAGTGTATTGATAAAATTGTTGTATATGTTTTAACATAATGTAGGAATCCAGCTATTTTCAAAAATATCATGCTATTTATCTGTTTATTTACTTATACATTGCTCTAGTTGCTGACAATTTTGAAGGGCATATATATATCCATCATCTATAATTCAGGTTAAAATAATAACAAAATTACAATTTAAAAAATTCAAGTATATTTACATATGTGAACAGTAATATCAATTACATTAGACAAATATTCCAAAGCCCGGGGAGGGGGGAGGCAGACTTTCAATATCTCAGTCCTTGAGGGATAACCAGGTTTTAATGTCTTTCCTAAAAACTAGTTGGATGGCAGAATTTAGATGTCTGGAGAATGGATCAGACAGATTTTGTGCTCTCTCCCAGAGTCGATTTTTAAAATGGGATAAAAATATATATCAGTGATGGCAAACCTTTTAGAGACCGAGTGCCCAAATTGCAACCCGAAACCCACTTATGCATCGTCAGGTGCCGGGTGGGTGTGGCTCATTGGGTGGGCGTGGCTGCGGTAGTAACGGCAGACTGGGTGGGACTAAAAAGTTCAATCAATCAATTCCAACTTTGCAAGATTTCTTTCCGCGAGAAGTTGAAATTGACTGATTGATTGAACCTTTTTTTTTTTTTGTACATAGTGGTGGAGGCCTAAAGCGAAAAGGTTTTATAAAACCCAACTGAAGGCCTAGGACTGGGGCGACAGCGCAAGTGCCCACAGAGAGTGCTCTGAGTGCCGCCTCTGGCACCCGTGCCATAGGGTCGCCACCACTGATATATATCTTCCTTAAATCTTTGTAGAGAAAACAATGAAGGAACATATGGCTTAGGGATTCCACAGAGCCATTTATCTCCTCAGGGACATAAGCATTGCTAAAAAAAAAAAAGGAAGGGTTTTTTTTTTATACCATCCCCACAGAAATAGAGTTCTGTGCATCTAATGCATACAACCTGGCCAAAGTGAAAGCCCCAAAAACCTTCAGAATTTGAATTGAAGAGACCTAAGATGATGGCACATGACCATTTGAGAAGAATCCATAAACTGTAGGGTTGGATATTAGGCTTAAACTAAATACATTTTTTAAGATGACTCCTGGCACTTTCAAGCCTAATGACTTGAAAGGACTAAAGTTTGCTACTGGCTTTTGTTAGACAGATTGATTTAAAATGGTCTCTGAGAACCAGTAAAGGGGAAAAGGAGGATCTTAATATCAACCCATACTTTGCAAAACTACCAGCAAAACCTCTAATGAGCCAGAACACATATGTTATGAACCATCCTCTCGCACTGGCCATCAGATACAAATCATAATTTACTATGTAGTAAAACAACCCTAGCACATTAACTCATCTGCAAGTAAAATAATAAAAGTTTACTTGGTAAAGAAATTGGATATTGAGCAGAAAGTCTGGGTTAGAAAATAAGTTAGTCATGCTTCAATATAATTGAAATGTGTATGAAAAATTGCTTGAGTTCCTAACTTCAATTAATTTTAATGAAACATACAAGTGTATGCAAATTACTGACTGTATTCTATTGATAAACAATTGTATTTTATCTAGCCTTTATTTAATGGTCACAAATGCACAGCAAATCTTTGCTGTGAACACTTGATTTGTTCAAATGTTCCATATTTGTTGTTTACAACTCACATTTATTGCTGTAGGTGTTAACACAAGCTTGCATCCAAACCAAATTAAACATGTTGTTGTAATCGCAAATGTTGAAACAAACAGAAACTGAAAATCAGGTATCTGTAAAAATGGTAAAAATATTACATTTCTTATTTATATATAAAATAATACATAAATAATACTACTCAACCTTCTAAACTTAAAGAACTTACCACATTAGCTTTGTTTCTGGCTATGGCAAAACTCACTGCTGCCGAGGGAATACACTAGGCCAAAAACAAGAAAACAACTTAAAAAATAATATATTTTTCATGTTAGTGTGATACTTATTATATGATAGAAAAAACAAGTTCTATTTCAACTGTGAAATTTTATATCACTCATTTAAGTTGGGGGGGAAACAATAAATAATATACCATCTTTAAAAAGTATGCAAGGCTGTTTCAACAAAAAGTTTGTATCAAGGACATAACTTAGTTGTTCTCGTGGAGTTTTGCACTTTAAAAATAAAGACATCCTCAAGACAAACTCATCTCCTAGGGGCCACATGGACATAACCTTGCAATGTTGTATTGAGCTTTACTCCAGGATATTTTTCAACATCCAGCCCAGCTTGTGATCCTAAGATTTTCTGGTGGTCTTCCAAAGCAGTCATAAGCAGGACTTAATCTGCCTAGCTTCCAAACCCTGACAACTCTAGCAAAGTGCTGCCACCTGCTGAGATTTTATACAGTATGAGATGATTTAAAGAGACTACTGGTAAACACACACACACACACACACACACACACACACACACACATATTATTTGGGCTGCAAGAATCCATGTAATGATAGCAAGAAGATACAAAAAAAATCAATCTTTTATTTCCATGTAAAGGTTGCAGTTCTTATAGGTCCTTTGAAAGGAACATAGATGGGGTCAGTCATTAACGTGTGTATAATTTCCATCCTAGAGTGAATGGTTCCCGGGCTACAGCAGAAATTCAAAAACCCTTCTTCTCAGTCCCAAAATATCTGATCGTAAAATTTCGTTCACATTAAGTTCTAATCCAACAAAATATATTCATGACAAAACACCAGCTCTAACACCTCTAATTTCTTGTGGAACCAGAGGACATTTACATGATTTGGGGGAAAAGAGTCTAATTTTTTTTTTAAAAATGCTAATAATAACATTTCATTGCAGGACTTATTTTAATTGAAATGCATATATAAAATAACCTAATTTTTATTGTGGATTACTCTATATCTGCTTGGGTGAAAAAAAATGTATTCACTTGGCAAAAAATGCAGCAATTTTATGGTAAATAACTTATCAATGATCAATAGCTAGGAAGCTAAAGAAAACATATATATACAGATTGTCATAATTTTTGATATAGAGAATTTGACATAAATATGTAAAGTTTAATGAACATTAAGTAATTAAACTGCAATTCTAATTCACATTTCCATGGAGCCACAGCAATGCTGCAGAATGCTTACTGAACCTGCTGCACAACGCAAATAATCCATTTCAGATGGAAAAACATTCCCCAGGTAAAGGGAAAATCCAGAAGTAACAAGAATACAAGTCTGAAATATAAAAATATGACAGGCATATACTGATTAATATAGCCATAGAACTATGTAAACGATGTAAATTTGAGAATTATTAGCCGATAATTTCTGGTAGCAATATAAAAATATTCATATTTCACTAAGAAAGAATACAATTGAAGAAATACAGTGAGAATGTCCCAAAGATGCTTTTCAAAGGCAACTGGACTTTCTTGGGGGTTTTTTCCTTGAAAATATTTTGCTTCTTTTTCAAGAACTTCACTCTTCAGTTCTTCAGAACTTCAGTTCGTCTTCAGTTCTTGGATGAGAAGTGAAACGTTTTCAAGAAAAAGAAACAAGAATGTCCAGTTGCCTTCTGAAAAGCACCTTTGGCACAACTATGACCTGGATGATTGAGAATCTCCATAGACATTTACACTGAGGACATGATACAGATTCACAGAAGCAATAATATTTCCCTTCTCTATGCAACTGCTGTTAATGTGCAGGCAGCAAGCTGATATTTCTGCCGTTATATTTCCCTTATCAAATATGAAATTCAGCAATCATTTAATAAATTTAGTTAGTTAATTGCAGTAACATTGTGAATATATATGCATAAATGTTTTCTTGGCAGACAGATACAACAATTAAATATGCATAGCTTCCCTACATTTTCTGATTATATAACCACTATAGCAAAATATTTTGGAGCCATTGTTATTTATAAACTGCTTAGAGAAAATATTCAAGAGCCACTGTACTATTACTGCAATATTGCAAGTAGTATAATTTAGTCTGTAACAATAGTGGAATAGAATTTGCAATGCCAAAATTACTATCATTAAATATGAACATGTATCAATATATAATTTATAGTGTATTAGTAGAATTGTTATGTTACTAAATGTTTCTAAGAAATAGGAAGTCCTGGGATTGCGGAGATGATTCACCTTCATTCCTATTATATAACTACTTAGCGCAGAGTGTGGCCGACCAGTAGGCTAAATGAGACTTTCCAGCATTCTACTGCCCACTAGCACTCCAAATTCACTTCACTGACATTTGGAACCTAAATCTCCCCAAATGAGGCTGCAATTTTTCATTCCCTTCCCCCATTGTTTTCCTCTGTTTTCTCCACAAACCTAGTTGTCATCATCACCAGCATGTTCTGTTCTCCCAATATCCAGATGGCCCCCACTCCTGCTTTTGTTTATAAGAGCCATGGAGGTCCCGGAGCAAGGGAAAGTGAGACCCTTTGCTTCATTCTGCCTTCCATCTTTTATCTTTGATTTTTAATTGTCATTTCTTTTGATTGTTGCGAGCTGCCCAGAATCATTGACAATTGAATAGCATACAAGTTTAATTCAGCAACAACAGCAGCAGCAATTTAAGAATGGGAATGGAAGTAGGCATGGCAATTGTTCCCATTTCTATTTTTTAAATCTCTACCACCAAAATCTGAAATTATTCACATAAAAAGAATTTGGGGGCTTTGGAGGAAGTTAAAAATGGTGGAATACTGTCTTCCATTCCCATTTCTGAGTACTCGTCTTCAATTCCTATTTCTATCTTTAAAAACAAGCAAAAAAAGAGGAGCAAAAACAAAAAAACCATTCTTGTCCCTTCTGAAAATGTCACTGATCACTGAACGCAGCACCCTAGAAGAACAAGAAGCTCAACCCCTCAAACAATCCCACACTTACCATAAAACATCATCACAAGGTTCAAAAATCATCTTACAGCATTATTGAATATAGGGAGCAAAAGAGTCTCATCTATATTAAAGAAAACTCTTTATCTTTATCTTTTATATAGAAATAACGTCCCTTGTTACTGACATGGGTTCTGTTCTCGCCTAATAGACAAACATAACAAAAACACAAAAATAAACTTGAAATTTACTTTAACATACAGATGCTATTCTCTGCATGCATGAAATATATTAAAAGACTCCAAGAGCCCTCCTGGAAACACAACCACACACCAAAAGTGCAGGTAATCCATCAGCACAGATCATAAGTATTGTGTATTTTTATTAGTCAATGAAAGGTGCGGTCACAGATAATAGAACTGTGGATAATAAGGGCACCCATTTTCTTGAAAAAAAAAACTGTGAGAATGAATACTGTTATTGCAGAATTCTTTTTACATTTATCATGTCATCATGGAGATAATTCATAGGCAGCTCTGCCCTCTGATAAAATTGCACTCTATAACTTTTCCAAATTGCATTGACATGCTGAAAGCAAATTTCTGCCTATTACTTTCCTTGAAGGCAATGCCAGATGAGAGAATTAAAAAAGGGTGTAACAAGTGCTAAAAGGAACCACTGTATTCAGACATTCTCTACTCTTTTTGATGCTTTTTTTTCCCCTTTTAGTCAACAGGCAATGAACTCTCTGCTTTTACCAGGAGTTACAATGATCCTTTCTACAGACTGTTTAAAATTACTTTACGTGAAGGACTGCACATAGCCCTAATCTGCCTATAACTGAGTTAAATAGATGAAAATGTAACGTAATGTATGTTTTCCATGTACACGAAATCAGTAACTAGCTAGACTAAAGTAGATCTGAACAATTTCTTGTACTTACCCCCATCAGCAATGAATAAATCCATGTTTTATAAAAGAAACAAGGATGAAATTTTTTGGAGAGCTGAAGATTGCTAGATTTAATATCTGGAACATAACTTCCATTCTGTTGTTTTCCGCGCTCCAAAGTTGGCATCCTATCATAACTAAATTCTTCCCTGTAAGATTCTTCCTTTGTCATAATGCTTTAAAGAGATAACAAAATATACAGTTTCATTTATTTTCCACGCTATGCCTTGAGATAACAGAAATATGTATTTTTTTAAGGTTAGATAAAAATCTAATAATTATGACAAAGCTCCATGCTTCTTTTAGTATCTTCAGTTTTATTATGTAATATTACACTTAACATACATATTGCCCCCACACATTTCATTGCATAGAAATGCTCAAGATACTAACTTCTCATCCCAGATTTATTTAATAGATGATAAATTTTAACCTATTTAAGTGTTAAGATTTAAGTTCCACATCAATTTGTTTTGGACTAAGGAATAAATTATTTAATAAATTTATTTCTAATTTTAATTAATTATCCTGATAAATTACTTAACCGTTTTCTATCATGCCTTACAAAATAATTACACTGTGAAACTAAAAAAAGTGGTCTCTAACAGTTGATGTAAATTGGAATATATCTTATTAATCGTATTTGAGTAAATTTCAATGTATGTGCACACTTTCTTAATGATTAATTTTATCATGAACTGAATAACTGTTCATTTATATACTGTTTCCTAAGTTTTATTTGGGTATGAAAATCAGCAAGTACTAGAAAAATGACAAAAGATCTTTACTTAACCTGACATTTCAGTTGTAATGATTGTGACAAAATACTTTCTTCTATACATACAACTAATCAATGGTACCCAGTTAAATTATTACATTATTTACAGCACAGATTGATTACTATAACTTATCTATGCATATATCAGTCCTGCAAAAAAGCTATACATACCTTAAACTGAGAAGTTTAATAGTCAACTTTGAACAGTTTGGTGAGTAGAGCTGCCTGGATACTTTGTTATAGTCTCACTGTGTAATGATTCATGCACCCTTTGAAAAATTTTCTCCTCCACTTTGGCTTTCAACAGGATCTATTCATACAAGAACAAAAGCACAGCAAAAAACTCAGGCAAGGGAACATAAAAATGCCAACAGAATGTTAATGAAGAGAACACACTACAAAACTACTACACCATATTTTCACAAGGTTTTTCCATCATAGTCTTCAAGAAGAATTTCAAGATAAAAGTTCCATGCTGCTGAGAAGTAAACATATAATATATAATATAACATATACTAAACAGTATGATTGTTTAATTATATTCACATTATGATACTGAGAAATTATAATTTCAATCATAACACATTACTGTGTCTAATGGACTTATTTTGAAATATATATATATATATAGTATTGTGTAGTCCTAGGCCATACCTGCAAAATTATTCCATTACAAATAGCATTGTAGAAAACGGATAAAAAAGGGGGGGGAGGTCAGGAATTTAAACATGGACAGTGATTGTAGGACAGAAACTCAAACATGCCCACTTGAAAGTATTATTAATTTCAAATATCTTTAACTTCCATTAAAAATAAAGGTTAAAAACAAGATTTGAAAATACAAACAATATTATTATTCTATATTTTTATTTAATCCTCTGCATAAGAATATTATATGAAATGAACTTTTCTATATATTACAGTATATATGTCTAGTTTTGTAGAGAGAAATTTAGAATAAGACAAATCTATATTCTCTCATAGGGAATATAAAATACTTTTGTTTTATTTTATATATATATATATCTCTACTTATTAAATACTACTGGTATTAAGAATGCCATCTTCTCTGAAGCTGCTGGCACAGTTAACTGGAATGATTACATTTTGTACTGCCTTAACATTCCTTGCAACTAAGAAACAACTCCAACATAGAACTTTGAAAAAAACTTCTGTCTATGCTAATTTTAAGAGAGAAAGTATTTTGAGACACTATTTTTTCTTGGTAAAAAGGAAATAGATGGCACAATTACAATAGCTTTTATCTAAATGCAATTGTTCTCAATACTAAAATGTACTATCCAACCTATATCAGACTTACATATACACACAGGTTGTATACATACATCAGATCTGGTGCAAAACTCCAAATGGCCATTAGATAGCAGCCCACATAAAGTAGCATTAACTCATTTGTTGTGTCTACATAGCCATTAAAAAGCCATTTCACTTATTGTAGTATCCTTTGTACATACTTCTCCATTGTGAATTAAGACCTGCTCCCAAATATGGGTTCAAACATGGTTAGTACTAGGGACATCTACAGAGCGATGTTTAAAAAAAAATCTCAAAAGGTTGGTCATGGTAACTTGATCAAATCTTGTTTTTATCTGTGTCATCACACACACACAAAACAGGCAAAGCTTAGATACCAGCATCATGGCTCCTTTTTGACTCATAGGCACTTCTGTTTGCACTAAACTACAGCAATTTTTTTCAGCCAATGAACTTTGCAGCCAAGATCTTTTGAGAGCAGGTTATGGATAGTTTCATAAATTAGGGATGCTTAATCATGAATCCCCTTCATCAGAAGGCAAATAGGTAAGTTTGCTCATTTAACAGTCCCTCAAGTCATCCAGGAGTGGCTTTTTCCACTTCAGTGTATTTGATTTTTTTTCCCTTTTGTTCTCCTGGGGATAAACCTGCATTTCCCAAGAAATCTGGACGGTAGCCATTCTCAATTTTTCATTTTCCAAGAATGTCTCTATGGTTTATATGGGGAGCTAAGCAAATATTGGAAATATAAGCTACAGTTGAGTGTGGTGCTTTGTAGCATAAAACAGAAAATATGTATTATTTTGAACTTGAAATATACTGTCGCATTCCAGCAGTTCTGCCAAACTGTTTCTGACTGGCCACAGTTCAGCTGAAACTAAACCTGGAAATGTTGGGTTGTGCTGGGTTTCAGCCAAAACCAAGTCTGGAGGATTCCAGAGAGATTCCACAATAGAAGGCTGGCAAGGGTAACACCTTAATCTTTCTGCTATATAATTGTGTGCTGGCTGCCCTCCATTTCTAGTGCTTTCCTATTCCTTTACGTCTATGGAAACTGCTGTTGATGCCCTAGTATGGCACATCCTACCAGCCAGTCTACCTCCCAATCTTCCTAACTATTGCCTTTCTTTCCTCCAATCAGCCACAACTGATATTTTTGATACTTTGTACTTGCAGTCAGCATTTCCACAAACATGCTCTAGTCAGGAGTAGGCAATCTTGGTTCTTTTATGACTCATGGACATCAACTCCCAGAATTCCTGAACCTGCCCCTTCTAAATCTGTTCAGCCCAAAACAGTCACATTTTCATTCATATCCTGAAAAAAAGTCATTTCATTCTGCATATGGACCGAAACATCAGAAATGCATTATTTTGGTTTGTGCACAGGACTTTTTGCATATTCCCAGACCTGGGCTAGACTTTGCAGTCAATGAGCTTCTTTTTTTTTCTTTTCTTTTCTTTTTATTTATTTTTCTTCTTTCTTATTAAAAGTTAAATGGAGTAATTTTGCAGAACAGCACAAAGTTGGAAACACCTGACCAATTCCATTTGATTTTTGCAAAGCTAAGTAGGATCAATGGTGTTTAATACTTGCATAAAAAAATATCATGCCTAAAAACTAGACTACACAAGCATCCTGGAAAAGGGCAAGCCAAGCCATCTTCATTGTGTCATCAACAAATCTACATCTTTTCCAGTAGGGGGTGCATACCTATGCCTCAAGGACAGTGTTTCTCAACCTTGACCATTTTAAGGCATGTGGACTTCAACTCCCAGAATTCCACAGCCAGCAATGCTGGCTGTGGAATTCTGGGAGTTGAAGTCCACATGCCTTAAAATGGTCAAGGTTGAGGAACACTGCTCAAGGACAAAGCAAAGTAGCCTTCTTGATGGATTCCTAATAACTCAATCAACTGAGGTGAGTGCAATGTAAAAATGTTATCCTCTCTACCAAAGCTACCAAAATGTACCAGCGCTGCCTTTAAAGGTTTAAAAAAAAAATTGCAGACTTTTATAATGTGTGAATATAAAAGATGCGTAATCCTGTGTAAAAGATACCATATATATGAAACGCACACATATAAGTGTACACTATACCAGGGGTAGGCAACCTTGGCCCTTTTATGACTCGTGGACTTCAATTCCCAGGATTCCCGAGCCAGCCATGCTGGCTCGGGAATTCTGGGAATTGAAGTCCACGAGTCATAAAAAGAGCCAAGGTTGCCTACCCCTGCACTATACATACACATACACACATTGCTGTCCCATTAAAGTGCACCTGTCTTCAATTACAAACGGTTGGGAATTATGGGAGCCGTAGTCGCACCCTTTTCGGGGCGCCGAGCGAGACACCGAGTTAAATGACTTAGGGCAGGGATAGGCAACCTTGGCTCTTTTATGACTCGTGGACTTCAACTCCCAGAATGCCTGAGTCAGCATAGCTGGCTCAGGAATTCTGGGAGTTGAAGTCCACGAGTCATACAAGAGCCAAGGTTGCCTACCCCTGACTTAGGGAAAGCTGCGAAGGCTGCGAAAGCTGCGAAGGTACCCCTCAAAGCGCTGATGTAAAAAAAAAGGGGTGGGACTCATCATACCCACCTGTCACGAGACGGAAAGGGGGAGCGGGATTTAAATTAGGAAAGGCAAAAGAGGACCCCCTCCCCCCAACTCGTTACGCACCCTTCCCCTCACGAATAGGTGAAAGAGCGGCCCTGAATCGCGCGCGCATGCGTGCCAGCGAAAAAGCTCCTCTCCCCGGCTGGGTGGAGCTTGAGCTGCCCGCGGGCGCGCGGAGAAGAAAAGGGGTTGGGAGACACGTGGCGCGGTTCGCGGGGTTTTGGTGCGCGAGGAGGAGGAGGAGGAGGACGAGGCCTTGCCGAGGATTGAGCGGGGTGTGACCGGAGGCTCGGTGAAATGCTCCACCTTTTGTCCAAAGGCTTTTCGTTTTTCTGGCGGGAGGCCGAGCGGGAGGTCGAAGAGGAGTTTCAAGCAGCCCGAGGTAGAAGAATGGAGGTCACTTGGTGCTTTTTCCGTTAGACCAGGGGTAGGCAACCTTGGCTCTTTTATGACTCGTGGACTTCAACTCCCAGAATTCCTGAGCCAGCACAGCTGGCTCAGGAATTCTGGGAGTTGAAGTCCACGAGTCATAAAAGAGCCAAGGTTGCCTACCCCTGCGTTAGACCAATAATTGCTTGGACGGTTAAAAAAAAAAAAATGCAACAAGGGAGCGAATTCGTATCACAGTTTTCTGTGGGAAAACAAGAAAAATAAGAGTTTAATAGGCGAGCTGTTAGTAGGGTTGCCAGGTCTGCTTCCCAAAAATAGCGGACAAGCGGGGGGGGGTGTTAAGTAGTAAAAAAAAAGTAGACTGTACAGCTTTAGATTACGTACCATTTCATCATAAAGCTTTTGAATAAAAATGTCCACTGTTTTGTGAAAAAAAAAATAGTGAACATAATGTGAAAAAAAGTGGACTGTCCGCTCAAATAGTGGACACCTGGCAACCCTAGTAGGGCCTACAGGAATTCAGCTTAATTAATATAATTAATAGATTTGTTATGGTCACTTCTCCCGAAGACTGGGTGGCTCATTCTTTCATTTGGTTATGCAAGGGCTTTAGGTCCTCCCATTAGACAGTTTACTGTATTAATTCGTTGCGTTTATAACATTTCAAGAATTCAAGGTGGCATAGAGGATGGTCTCCCCCAAATGTTATCTCCACAACAACTCTACTAGCATGGCCTGAAAGTGATGCATGCAGCCAAATAATTTGAATTTGAATTTTGAATTTTATTATTTTTATTTTATTATATTTGTACCCCGCCCTTCTCCCGGAGGACTCAGGGCGGCTGGATTTGTGGTGGTGTGAAGATTACAGTTCGGTTTTCCCAGTCCACCTAATGCAAAACCAACCACATTGCACTGGCTTCTGATCAAGACTGAGGAATCTTTGGCTCTTTACGAGATATGTTTCTGTTCAGCCTAATATGAAGGTCAAAGAGTCATTACCCTTCTGTATATTTATGCCTGGTCCCCAAAGTCACCCAAATTGGGTGCTTGATAACCTGCCTTTGCTTATGACCTCAGGATGTTTCCCCCACCCACCCATCTCCGCATCTCTGTCCTTTTTATTGTCCTGCACAGTGGCATGTGGCGGCAGCATCAGTGGCACTAGGGCCGAAGTAGAGGCTTGGGCCCTTCCAACAGTTTCTGTCAGCCACCTCCAGCAGAGTCTACTTCATCCCTAATACCACTGATGCCACTAAGGAGTGCTGCCTCAAGCCTTGCAGCCAACCACCACAGTGGAAAGCCCTCGCCACTTTGCCTACACTGGCCGTACCACATTCAGCTGACCATAACCGACGTCTTCCCACTGCTGATGAGGCTTACTTAGCGGGCCTATGAAAGGCAGCTGCTGGCTGCAATAAGCTTTTTCCCCCCCCAAGACTGCAAACACCGTTCTGCAAATTGTATGTGTCCTCACAGTTTGGAAAACAGCATGCATGAGTTGTTGAGAACAGTAGTTGTGGCATGGGGTTTCAGGCGGTACTCAGAAGTGGCACTAGCAGGGCTGTGGCTGAAGTAGAAGCCCTATAGCAGTGACAGCCAGCTGAGACTGCTGAAAGCCCTGGGCCTGTACTTCAGCACTGGTACTGTCACCATCACAACCAAGGAGTGACACTGCAAGGCATAAAGAAGGGTAGAAAAGGGGGCCATTGGCAAGTAGAGAGAGTTCAAGAAGAGGCAGAATCCTGCCTTACTGAGATTCAGGGCTCCGAGGAACCAAGCCAAAGTGCTGTTACAGAGGATGTGATAGAAAGCACAAGATCCACACAAGATGGCAACGTTTAATGGAGGGGATCTACAGCATATCCACTCTGCCGTAAAATACTGAGGGCCAGAAACAATTGGAAACGAGCATTCTCTCTGGTATACTGGCCTTATGCCATACAGGACTTAATGATATTAATACATTTGTATAATTGTATGCATGACAAAAATTAGGAAATAATCATCTCTAAAAACTTAAGTAGATTTTTATTGGGAGTTAGTATTAAATGCAAAGTATATCTGTATAAACTTCTTTTAAAAAGACATATTTGAATACACTAGTTATATACAGTCCTTATCCTGAGATACAGAAGCAAGTTTCCTAACATTTGTATCTTTGAGTATAACTTTATTAAAAACAACATTTAACAATAATAAAATCACTTTAGGAAAAATTTATTTTCTCAGACCGGCTCTTACTGTCTAAGAAATACATTGACATTTTAGATTTTAACATTTTTGGATATGTTACATAATTGTTGCTTGTTGCATAATTGTTGCACAACCTGTCTTATTTGTCACATAATGTTTATTAGCTTTTAGTAAGTATATTTCTAAGAAATACAGTTCTGTGAATAGTAGTGCATTCCACACGTAGGCTGACTTTCTTGAACTAGAGGCTGTGAAAATATTGTTTTTCTAAGAATGATAGAAGTACACATTCTTGAAATGGATTCTCTGAATTTAAATCAGGATAGGCAATCTGGCCTCCCTACCAAATGCTTTGAGCTACAGTTCCCACAATTCTTGATAATGGAGTGGGTGGGGAAATTAACCTAAAAGTTTTGAAGGATATAAGATTGCCTCTCCAAAATCAAGATCTTTAATTTTAGAATATTTTTAAGAAATATTCCTTGACAAACAATACCCATCAAAGCTAGTCTATAGCAGCAAAAAAAAATAGCCTTCTGTCACTTTAAAAAGTAAAATTAAACTGAAATATTTTAGTTTTGGGGACTAATTGGCCTTGGAAGCCATTAGTGTAGAATAGTCTTTGTAGGGTATTGTAAGGTTTAAATTGTCTTGTTTATTCATTACAAATTATGTTCCAATATAGTGGAGGAAGTGACTTTAGCAATCAAGTATGTCCTAGAGAAAGGGTAAATGATACTGGAAGAAGTTAGGCTTAAGGGGCTTCCATATTAGTTCCAGACAAAAATGGTCATGAGAGATTTGATTTTATTCATTGAAAACTTTATCTTTAATCACCATTTGGTGATCACAGAAGCTCTGTAACTTTTCAGCTAGAAAAATGAAACTGTTAAGATGTTGGATTATACTTTAGGAAACCCAACTGAAGCCAAGAAACTGACTGACTGGTTTTGGTAAGTCATACTTTTTCTGCTCAGCCATCCTTACATCATTCTTTGGGGAATTGAGTGAGAGTACTTGGCAAGTTGCCTTGAGCTACTCCAAAAAAGGAAAGACATAAATCTAGTAAATGAATAAAAATAAAAGTCAGTGCTTACAAAATATGCCAACTAATTCATAGCATGATTCAAGTAGATCAGATTTCTTAGTAACATATTTGTGATCAGGATATATGGAATGATTTTACAAGCATTTCTTCGTTCCGTTTTGTTACCTTGTTTGATCAATATATGCAGTACAACACTTTGCATTGTCTCATTTCAGGATATAAGGATATATATTGAGAATCAGTTTGGTTTAGTAGTTAAAACATCAGGAGTCTGTGAGTTCTAGTCCTGCTGGCTGGGTGACTTTGGACCAGTCACTCTTAGTCCAAACCACCATCACCACCACTGTTGTGGGGGAAATTGGAGGTGGAAGGAGTATAGGTAGTCCTCAACCTACGACCACAATTGAGCCCAAAATTTATGTTGCTAAGTAAGACATTTGTTAAGTGAGTTTTGCTCATTTTACAATCTTTCTTGCCACAGTTAAGTGAATCACTTGAGCTGTTAGTAACATGATTTTTAAGCGAATCTGGCTTACTCATTGACTTTGCTTGTCAGAAGATCACAAAAGGGGATCACATGATCCCGGGACACTGTAACGGTCATAAACACATGCTAGTTGCCAAACATCTGAATTTTGATCTCGTGATCATGGGGATACTGCAAAGGTCGTAAGTGTGAAAAACAGTTATAAGTCACTTTTTTCAGTGCTGTTGTAACTGTTCAAACAGTCACTAAATGAATTGTAAATTGAGGACTACCTATATCAGGCATGTTCTTAATTTTTTTTAGGGGAGATGAAAAAAATAAAAAATAAGTGGGCTAACTGGTGAAATTTTAACACTATAGCAATCTTTCAATGTTTTATATAGTAAAAGTTTAGATAACAATGACATTACACAAAACTTGTTTATATAAATTCTTCTGCCTCTTAATGAAGACATGTCTTTAAAAGGTGGAGCTGTGTATGTTTGGCTTGTTTGATGTTTCTGAAACTAGTGGCCTTTCATCTTCTTGGGTGGTATATTTGGGAAAAAAATCCACCGCCTTCTAGGATTCATATTTCTATGCTGTCATGTGAACTTTCTAGCCAAGTCTGTCCAACATGCTTGTACAAGCAGATGTACCTTTGAAGATATCATGCAGTGAATTATAATGCATAATAAACTAGAGAATATTTTCAGAAAGTCCAAAAAAACCCCTGATGCTTGGAAAATAAGAATATATGGAGATTTAGAATACAGTTGACAATTTACATATAAGGTGACATGTGCTTGACAATGCACATGTCACCTTATATGACAGATATTTTTTTATTGAACAACAGTAAGAACATTGTGACTGTACAACTGGATGAAATGGTAATTTACTTTATACATACTCATTGCTAAATTCAAGACAGTATCTTAACTTCTTTCAGGCAGACAAAATAGAACTACTAGATTTTGATTTATTTCAGTTCTGATGCCAAATTGTGGACTGATCCTATTACAAGGAATTTTTCACTTTTCTATTGTGAAATGCAATGTTTTTCAATTCAAATGTTATGAAAACTCTTATTGAGTATCATTGTTGATAATCATTAAATTACCTAGCAATTCATATTATATGAATTGATGTAGGGGAGATACTCGATTCTGTGAACATAAAAGGGAGATTTAAAAAAATGTGTTGTAATGTTTTGTGGCTGTTTTCATTTGTAAAACCGCTTTGCAAAGACTGACCTATCAGAAACAACTGACTGGTGTGCTTTATTCTTTTCTATAATCAAATACAAAGAAAAATATTTTTTAAAATACATTTTTTTCTAGCAAATACAGATTTATTTAGTATTGACACAAATGTTTCTTTATTTCTTTAAGATGACAAGGAGTTGAAAACAGTAGAAGGTGTAGTAACAAGATTTTGTCCAGACTATGGGATGATCGATGATTTAATTTGCTTCACCAAGGATGCTGTGATGAGGAATGTGCCACTGCAAGTCGGACAAAGAGTAATAGCTCACGTTGAAGAAGATAAAATATCTCATGGATTAAGAGCAGTTAGGGTGAGATTAAAACAACTGGAGATGCTTCTTAAACTTCAATTGTTTACAATAGTGGACCCCTGAAGGGGGCTGCAGAGTTATTACAAAGGGTCTGTGATAGACCAAACAGAAAACAAGTCCAAAGCTCACTCACACGGCTCTTCCTCTTGAGTGGACTGAAAGGTACTTCACTGCCAGTAGTAAGGTGGAAGGGAGAAACAGAGGAAAGGAATAGAAAGCCCCAAAAGGAAAGAGTATCTCAAGTTCCAGTTGGAAATTTTTTGAGCCTCAGCCTCAACAGCCATACCAATAGCTTGTTTCAGCCTCCTGCCACAGTAGCAGAGCCGAGAAAAAAGCACCCTCAACTGCATCAGTGTAGTTCATCTGGTATAGGCTGCCAGTATAGGCTTTCCACTGTTTGCTGGCTGCCATTACAGGCAAATACAGAGACTTAGATTTGTGGACGATTCACAGGAACACCAGCCTGCCTCTGCCTGTTTTATTTACATACACACACACACCACTTATTTTCATATACAAATCAAAACAGTGAACAGACCATTATTCTTCCCTCCTCCAATTTTCCCCACAGCAATAATCCAGCTGACTTTTTCATGCCTGAGGAGAGAATAGAATAGAATAGAATAGAATACTTTGAAGGTGATTACCATCACCTTGAGTTGCACCTGAAAGCAAATCAGCAACCGCTGCAGCTCCCACAAAAGAGGTGGCACGTGCACCTATTGAGTCTTGTGCAAAACTGGGCCATTGCATTTGGAACCAACAGAAACCTCCAGATTCTCTTCAAAGGCAGTCCCGTGTAGAATGCATTTTAGTAGTCCAAACTTGAGATGACCAGGGTGTGGGTGATTATGAGAAGGGCACATTAGTCCAGGAATCGGCATAATTGGCACATGACTTGTAATTGTGCAAAATCCCTCCTGGCCATGAGCGCCAGCTGCTGTAGCAGGAATTGTGAATCCAGGTTACGGACCAAGTCCATTGGGCAGTGCAACTCCATTCATGACTAACAATGGTAATTCTCCAAGACCCAAGAATCCCTAACTCAAAGTCACTCCATCTTTCTAAGGTTCAGTTTTAGCCTATTGCTCTCCATCCAGACCTCTGCAGCCTCCTGGCACTGAGAGAGGGCAGTTGCAGCGTTGTTTAGCTCACTACAGGAAGAGATGTATCTTAAGTGTCATCGGCATATTAATGATACCTCACCCCATGTTGACAGATAATCTCGGCATTTTATGTAGTTGTTAAACAAGAGAAGTTACTGTTATTTACTGGCGGCAAAACAGGATGCGGTTATTTTTTAAGCATGCACAAAGAGATTGCTCATGGGAACAAGAAAATAGGTGCATAGGAAGGAGAGGAGTTGTTTGCTAAAAATCTTTCTGGTTTGTTTTGACTTTTATTTATCTTACTGTGAACAAGTATGGCAAGGAGTGAAGTATGAAAAGAGATTTCACTACCACTTGAAACCATTTTAGCAGCTTGCCAAAGGGCTTCATCCTTTGAAAGGGAAAACCATAACCTTCTACAGACTGAAAAAAATGTTTACATAGTGCTAATTTTAAATTGAATGTGGATCTTGTGATTAATAAAATGCAACATTGCCTAAAAACACTATTGATCACTACTGAATAGCTAATAGTCTTTTGTTATTTCACTTAACAGATACTTGATATACAAAGCTATCCTATGCAGGTCTGCAAAAAAGTTCAAAAGGGATCTTAAATAAAAAAAATTAGGGAACCACTGGTTTACAAAATAGACATTTTAATGTGATTGCCACCCAGTTAGTCAGATTGAGAAGACCTATTGAGTGTCCTACCAAGGGAAAATTTAAAGTTTTGGAATACATAGATCTGTCTCCTACCACCTAAATGTGGAGATGCAATGAATGATCTAGTTTATATATGGTATTGACTATGATTTTGCCCAGGTTCTGTCAACAGAAATCAAGGAAGAGATTTCAAATTCAGATACATGCAGAATAACCTTAATGAGATATTTTCAGACAGGTAGAAATTTTCAGAAAAGAGGAATACCTGCATCCCAATTTCCTGATAAGAATAGAGTATGCTTAGGGTTAATCATTTACACTTATGAGTTCGTTTTTGTGCTTCTTTTTAATCATTTGGAATTCCTTTTCCCCTGTACCATATAGAAGTAACTGTTGTCTGGGAACTTGCCTCCAAGCACTGAATTTTTGTTCATTCTACAAAAAGTATAATTCTAGATAAGACAGAAATGAAAAATACAAATAGACTGTGTGTATAAATAATAGACACAGGAAAGCACACTGCAGATGGAGGAAGTCCAGTAGGGGGCAGACTTAGAGCACAAGTTGAAGTTCAGTCAATTTGAATTGATAAGGTTAGGAGAGGATGAAAGATCTTTCACCTTCGTTGGAAAGTAAAAGTAAAATAGGTTTTAGATAAGAGTGCCTTCAGAAGTTTGCTGCAATCGTTTTAAATAGATAAATGGAGGTGAAGGGGAAGGGTGTGGCCGAATTCAGAAAAACGAATGCAGAACAGCATCCAGTACAGCGAGAAACACCCAAATGGCATTTTCCCTGAAATGGTAGGATAGTATTAGTTGCCTATATTTGATCAATTCTTTTTCATTCTTGACACATTGACTAGAAAACACTTCCCGATGCGGAAAAACAGTCCATACAATCCTCAAGAAAGATTATAGGCACCACAATTTTAAATGGAGTACTAATTTCAGTTTTATCATGCAGATAAAATATTAATACCATGTACAGTAGTAATACAGTACCAGTGCAGTATATTCTGTAGATCTGAGGAAGGGGAAATAAGTGTCCATTTTATCTGTTCCAACAAGGCTTAAATAGGCACTCTAGAATAATAATAATAAAAAGTCTAATTTCCCTTACTTCTCACAAATATCTCTGTAGTAGTAAACAAGATCCAGTCTATTAGTATGATGATTAAATGAGTGTAGCAGGAGCCATACATCCCTGCTGGTTTAAAATCTTAGCTGGCTTGGCAAATTATTTCTCAGTAGCTTAAATGCATATTGTGATAAGTTACTGAAATATTTCAGTTGCCTTCCAAATTTTGACACATATTAGAAAATATATTCCCTTTTTTAGATTGGAAGCTAAAGGATTTATGCCCTTTTTCTGTTTCACACCCAGTTGTCTTTTACCATTTAATATCTACTTAGTAATAGCGACGCAATGGCTCAGCATTTAAAGATACTGAGCTTATTGGCTGGAAAGCTGACAGTCTGGGTTTGAGACCCAAGCACCACACAACAGGGTGAGCTCCTGTTACTTGCCCCAGCTCCTGCCAACCCTAGCAGTTCAAAAGCAAGCAAATACAAGTAGATAAATAGGTACCACTTTGGTGGGAAGGTAACAGTGTTCCATGTGCCTCGATATATAGTCATGCTGGCCACTTGACCATGGAATCTCTTCAGACAACCCTGGCTCCCTCGGCTAAGAAACGGAGATGAGCAGCACCCCCTAGAGGTGGACACAATTGGACAGGGAAACCTTTACTTTTATCTTAATAATTGTGTCCTTAGGTAGAGTGCCTGCTGTCCTGTATTAATGAGTTTGAAGGAGATGCAAAAACTAATTGCATAGATGAAATAAAAACTAACTAATCTCTTCTGATATCTTTCTATTTTTACCTTAAGTGCTATATATCTGTCTGCAGGATATGATGTCAACTTGATGTTTTGGGGGAATGATTTAATTCACATGTTCAACATTTCATCGGTTGAATACGTTTCTCAGAAGTATCTATATGTGCTTCCATTCTCTCCGTGAAAACCTTAAACTTAGTGATTCCTGTTTCGTATTTGGTTTAGCTTGACTGCCTTAAGAGCTGTCTGCTCTACTCCATGACTGTCTAGACTCTAGAAATTATAAAAATAGTTTCACATGTCTGGAAATTACTGGTTAAAAGAAAATTCTCAACTTTCAGTTGGGCTTGATTACCTACCATTTGATCTAGTGTTCAGCTCCTTGTTCTTGTCTTTAGAATGACGCCATGAAGTGATTCAGACCAAGTACACAAAGGTTAAAAGGGTTGCACTCCTCCCACCAGAAATATCAATAGAAATATTTATTTGTTCCTTTTTGCAGGTAGAAAGCATCGATGATAAATGGGATGACAACAGCATAAGTTCTTACACAGTGGATACAAATGTTAAAACGCTCATTGGAACTATTACAAGGTTTACTGGAGATCGTGGCCACATCAATCAATCAACCTCTTTCTCTATGAGGGTAGTTTGTAAAGGTAACCTGTATATTTCCTTGGAAAGTTTTATTTTCTTTAAAAGCTACAGTTTTAGGTTTCAAATGGTATATTGGTTTAAATACAGATAGTCCTCAGTTAACAAAAGCATTTGAGACCGGAATTGCCATTGCTAAGTGACAGTGTCATAAAGCATGAAGTCACATGACCACGCTATTAGCAGCAGTAATCTCATTTGTCATCATAAATGTTATGTCCTGAAACAGAACAATAAAGTAAGAATTTCACATGACTATGACGTCAACTTCCTAATGGCTTCTCCATTGAATTTGCTTTGGAGAGCTTGCAGGGAAGGACAGAAATTATGATTATGACTGCAGCTTGCTGCAATGTCATAATTGCAAGCCAAACTCGCAAGTGCCCATATCACAATCACATGACTTCGGGGATACTTGATGGCCAAATAAAAGAAATATTTGCTCCCAGAAAAATATATCTTTGAACAGCTTACTTACTTTTAAATGTGATTAAAATACGTATTGACTGCCTTAGTTGTTTTCTTTTGTAATCCAGCATTTGGATAAATTACAGTGTGGTGTAAAAAGGTAGTATCATCTGTTATATGTGCAAAGTCTGAAAGGGCTACTTCATTTAAGTGGCGCCTTTGACCAAATTGTTTCTGTGATGCAGTTTTGTCAAGCCACACTCCGTCAAAATAAAGTGGTCTACTCTGATTGGAGGTATTGAGGGAGAACACTTAGCTTTTCCATTTTGTGGCATAGCTTCATATCAGAATCAAGGCAGCTTCACAAAGTCAAACAGTGCCATTTTATACAGCCTTGAAGCTTCTCTTTTAACAGATACGGAGTTTTTCTATGCTGCTTTTTATTTTATATTTAAGACTTTTATCCTTGTAAAGGAGATTTGGTGCAAGCTGAATATATTGTCAACCCAACAAGATGGACTAGTGAAGCCATATCTGTAAAGCCCTTACGGTTCAAAAGAATTGACAAGGTACGTGTAATACATTGGGAGACCTTGTAGGTATTTCAGTTACTGTAATGGATGGTGGGAGGAGCCACAGTAGGAACTGTCTTGATGCAGTTAGCTTAGAATAATTCTGATTCGGTCCAATAGCCATGAAATCTCTTTGTTGCAATAAAGCATTTTCCAGTTTACGGAAAAAGTAGTCTAAAAAGAAATGGTCTTTATCCTCTAACAAGATTACAGTTATCAAGGGTGGTTTTGAGAGGAGGGGAAAGACCTGGCAGTTAAATTGTTATAAACTCTGTTGTGGTGTCATTTTTTTATGTAAGATATACAGAGCTATCCTGTGCAGGTCTGCAAAAAAGTTGAAAAGGGATCTTCTTAAATAAAAAAATTAGGGAACCACTGGTTTACAAAATAGACATTTTAATGTGATTGCCACCCAGTTAGAGTTAATCTAAACATTTTTTTTAAATTAAAGTTCATATTGGTAATCTGTTCCTGAAACATTGAACTGAAAACAGGACATAAGTCCAGTAGCGACCTCTGCAGGTAGTCCTCGACTTACGACCACAATTGAGCCCAGAATTTTATCATAAGTCATTATAGTCATAAGTTGAGTTACCACATGACCAGACTTGATTTTACACCCATTTTTACATTGATCCTTTAGCAAGTCATCCTTTAGCATTCTCTAAGTGAATCACATGGTCATAAATCTAAGTCCAGCTTATCCAATATATATTTTTTGCCAGAAAATGGCAAAAAAGTCATAAAATGTAAGTGTAACCACTTATAAATGCAAATCAGTTGCCAAGCTCCCAAAATGTGGTCATATGACCACGAGGATGGTACAGCAGACATAACTTTGAGGATGAGTTATAAGTAATTTTTTTCAAGTCCATCGTAATTTTGAACTGTTAAGTGACTGGAATTAATGTTTTGGCGATCAGGAATTGTAGAATAAGAGTTCTTCCTGCAATAGAGAAGATAGTTTGATCTAGTGGTTAAGACACCAGACCACCATCCAGGAGACTGTGAGTTCTAATCTCACTTTAGGCATGAAAATCAGCTGGGTGACTTAGGACCAGTCACTCTCTCTCAGCTCCTTATAGTGTTGTTGTTGTGAGGAAAATAGAAGTATCGTTTGCCACCTTGAGTTATTTATGAATATATAATTTTATGTACAGTATATAAATGCAAACACATTGTGACTTATAAAGGCAGTCCTCGAGTTACAACATTCATTTAGTGACTCTTCAAAGTTACAGTAATTTATGACCATTTTTCATACTTACAACTGTTGTAGCATCCCCATGGTCACGTGATCAAAATTCAGACAGTTAGCAACAACTCAGTTTATGAGGGTTGCAATGTCCCAGGATCATGTGATCACCTTTTGCAACCTTTTGACAAGCTATGGGGAAGCCAGATTCACTTAATAACTGTGTTACTAACTTAACAGCTGCAGTGATTCACCCAATAACAGTGGCAGCAAGGTCATAAACAAAACAGGGAAAACTCACTTAATAAATGTCTCTCAGCAACAGAATTTTTGGGCTCAACTGTGGTTTCATTTATTTCATTTATTAAATTTGTAAGCCAAGGACTACTTGTAATTTGGATACGGTACCAAAACCTATAAGTCATAAACTATTAGAAGACAAACAAGCTAGAGTTCTTCACACATAATGCTGAACCAATCACAGAAGATACGAGTGTATTTTATCATTTCTGCTTATCGGGAGTGCTTAATCAGGACATACCAAGCATACTCATACGTACTGGGGCATCAGATTACAATTGTTTATACTCTTAGTTGATCTAATGATAACTACAATTACTACAGATTCATATTTCCAGTATGTATGGAAGAACTGGTGTGGTAGACGACAGTATATTTTTCAGTCTGGATTTTCTGAGTCTTCCTAAGGATTATTTACCCCATAAAGATGATCTTGTCAATGTTGTGGTTGTGGAGAGTAACCAGTCCTGTTATAATTGGAGAGCATTTTGCATGGCTCCAGCAGACAAAAAAAGGTAATGCAGTTTTCATAATTCTTAACAAAATTATTTCATTCCAGTTAAAGTGTTTCTACGATTCTTGAAAATAAGTGTGATTGAGTAAAATAGTGTCTATTCTATTCTGTTCTGTTCCATTCCATCTTATGGTTTTTGTTTGAGATAACTTAAGAGTAACATGTTTGTTATCCTTATTTATTTTGTAACTCAAGGATAGCTCATGCTAACAATAAAGAGATTAAGAGTTATTTTAAAAAGAACTGTTGTGAGCAAACTTTCAAAAGGTTACACTCATTAATATTTACTGATCATATTTATTTCCACTGTAAATTCAAGACTATATTACGAGCTGATATGAAAAATGATTGGAGTTTTAAGTAATATTTTAAACAGATTTAAATAGTATTTTTCCCAGGGCTTTTTAAGGTTTTTTTATCCAGTCTTTATTATTTTTTATAAATAATTCAAGGTGATGAACGTATCTAATACTCCTTCCTTCTGTTCTCTTCACAACAACAACTCTGTGAGGTGAGAGAGAGTGACTGTCCCAAAGTCATCCAGATGGCTTTTATGTCTAAAACAGAACTAGAACTCACAATCTCCTGGTTTCTAGCCTGGAGCCTTAACCACTAAACCAAACTGATTCTTTTCTAATTTTCAGTAGTTTCAAATTAATCCTTATAGAAAATCTGTCCAAAATAAATTGGCAGTCGGCAGTCAAATATGTTTTCTATCTATTTCTTGAGAACTTGATTTTAATAAAATATATTTTAATGATGTTACATAAAATATATGCTAACATAATGTTTTTATTTGCTTTTGAAAGTTTGGTCCATGTTAAGTTTTGCTTTTTTTTTAAAGATACTGGATGAAAGTGTATGTTAGCTGCTGGTACAGTTACATGGATGCAATGAATAAAATTTATTTTAATAAATTTATTAAATCACATTATCAATTACTATTTCAGATCATTGCTATCGCAAGACATAAATCTCAGTGAACCAGATGAAAATCTATTGAAAGACAAAGAAGGACTTGAAGTGTCAAAAATGACAGATTTTGGAAAACTCAAATTAGGAGAGAGCAAAAATATGGAAATTTGGATAGAGTAAGTTAATTTTGTTATTGCCTAGGTTTTTTTAAAAAGAATTTATCATTTAAATGTACAGCTTACTCTGATATCCAAAGCTGAGCTACCCACGACCCTTTCCCTGTCTAGCAGGTGCACAGGACAAAGTGGAAGTCCAACAATGCAGTCCCAGTTTGGTTATCCTATATCTTTCCTTTTGAGAAAGACAAGGAACGATTAAAATGTTTTACTCTGTATGTTTAACAAACACTTATTACGATCTCCTAGTGCAGGAAAAACGCCAGTACACCATGCACGAGGCATACTGAAAAGAAATGTGTGTTTATCTAATCCGTGGGGAAAATGTTTTTCCTATAGTATGTAGGAATGTGTTTTTCCTACTTGGTCCAAAAGTCACAGGCAAGCTTTTTTTTTTACTCTTAATGCACAGCAACATGCAAAATACAGGCTTTGAGTGTATAACCACAACCACACTCTAAGCTAACTTTATTAGTATTTTAACTTTATTAGTATTAATAGAGGGCTTCTGAAAATTCCTGCAAATTAAAGGACTTCCATTGGACATAGTCTCTTGTTGTCACAGGGATACAGTTTCTTGTCATCATATTGCTAATATTTTGGGATAAAACTGTCATAGAGTATTTTCTTACCACTCTAGAATTATTTATGATCCTATTAAAAATGTCTTGACCATTTTACAACCAGTCGAAGTTATGATAGCCATAGAACAGATGCTTTATGGGCCATAAAGCATCCTTGTCATCCTAAATGGTTGTTACCTCCACCCTACCCTGTGCAACTATATGACCGCATGTTGGGCAGGTCAGCTCTACAACTGGTCCCGGTGTTCTGTGCTCATGTGACCACAATTTATGGTGCTTTTTTCTAGTTTCCAACAAAAAAAATGTGCAATGAGATGAATTGTTTCGCTTAACAATCACTGCGAAAAAAGGAAATAACTTTTGGCCACATGGGTTTCTTGGCCTATGAATGTAATGACTGAAACTGGATTTCTGGCCCCAGTGATGGTTATAAGTCAAGAACTACCTATATAAATTTAATAAAAATAAAATATCTTGAGATACCATTTCTTATATACAATATATTTAAATATTGAGATGGAAAGTGGTGCTATTATTTTAGGAACAAAGGGGAAACTGAGCATTCTTTAATTAGCTGCAAATTATGTGGCTGGGATAAAGAGAAGCAGTTCTGTCTTCAGTTGCCAGAAAAAAAACAGGTGTGCTGGAAAACAACTTCAGCATTGACTGTCCCTAATGGAGCTACTTCAGGTAAATATACATCCAGTATTTAAAAGCTTATTACAGTGCTCATTAGCTCTACTCTAGCTAGAGTATTTGGTTTGTTTTGTTTTTGTAAAAGGTGAATTTACATACCTAAGCAATATTGGAGATTGTAATAATTCTAAAACTGGACAATCTGAAAGTCTAATCTGTGAAAAACAAGAATATGAAGGAGAAGAAACCACAGGATCTAACGGAAGCATATCTTTATCTTCTGGGAGCAAGACTTCTATAACGGTTGTATGCACTGCAAAGTACGTTTCCTTTTCTCTGAGTCCCAATTTTGTGAAACAATAATGTATGGTTTTCTCTGTTAGAAGTCAGGATTTAAATTGATAGCCAAAAGGAATTACACATGTATATTATCAGACTAATTCCACTCTAGATCCCTCTGTTGTGAGTTTGCTTATCTGTTGTTTTTTTACTTGATAAGGCTTCATGAAAAAGTATGAAAAAGGCAACTTTTATTGTTTAACATTCCTTCCATCCAAAATCCGAGCTCAGGAGTATTGATTGCTCATATTGGTGGAATGGAATCGTTTAAATTTTAAATTAATGTGGGGACTTAGCAAACATCCAGGAGTGAATTCATTGAAGCTGTCTTAAGTATTAACCAGTGATTTTGAATGTCCGTTAAATTCATCCTAGCTGTTGGAGCTTAGAGAGTCTCTTTCACAACAAAATTTCCTTTTAGTGAGTTTAAGCCAGTAAAATTCAAGAAATTATAATTAAAGTTTTTAATTTCTTGATTTAGACAGCTGTGTTGATCAGAATCCTGAAACCTAGGGAAGATAGCCACTTTCTTGATATTTGGACTTCTTGCTAAGATAGAAAAATGTGGGATAGCCAGCATCATCACCAGCGGTATTGACAACTGGCTAACCAATGGCCCTTAGTCCTCAATGGAATGACATCTACATGGCGGGAAGCATGCAGTGGGATACCTCAGTGTTCTGTCTTAGGCCCAGTACTCTTCAATATCTTCATAAATGATTTAGACAAAGAAATAGTAGGGGAAGTCATTAGATTTGCAGATGACATCCAGCCTGGGAGAACAGCTAACACTTTAGAAGAGAGATTCAAGTTACAGAAGGCTCTTGACAGACTTGTCAAAGGAGTTAGTTGCCTTAGCTTTCATTCACAAACACTGTTCAATGCATACTACGCATTTTTTTTAGTTAACAAGAGCCTTTGCCAATGTGGTTCCTTCCTGATATAACAATTCCCAGCTAGCATGGCCCAGAAAAGGCAAAACAGACAGTACTTGCTATCAATCCAAAATATACAGAAAGTGAATGGCATTAATTGGTTTACTATAGATTGAAGAAGTCTGGGTGTGCTTGAACCACCCAGTATGATCTTAAAACAGCTAATATTGTTCATATGGTTGTCATCTGGTCATCTTATTCTCCTGCCAGGCATATCCTGGGATAAAAGCCAACTTTATTATAGGTTGTTAACTTTTTATGGCTTTAACTGAATTCTTATTCAAGAAATCCTGGACGCTGCACAGAACTTTTGTTGCTGTGTTTTTCTGACTGCATTATTGGTCGATACCTCGAAGCAACTATAGTAACGGAAGAAGAGTCATTGATAAAACCTACTGAGAAGTATTCTCAGAGAAAATGTCAAGCCATTTCTGAACCCCAGTTTACAAAAGCAACAGTGATTTTACCACAGTTGAAAAGGTACTGCTGATTAAAGTAAGATTAAATCCACTTTAAACACATGGCTTGCTTTTCTTGAGTAAAAATTGTTTTAAGCATTAATGTCATATTGTTTGTCTTTAAGGGATAGTGATTATCTTCATTTCAGAGATTATTAGTAGAAATACAGTCAGTAGGAGTTACTTCAAAGAAATGGAATGTCTGTTTCAAATACCTATTTTAGGAAATCCAAGATTTTCAGGTTGCATTTTGGAAACTTGAGTGCTCTTGATCAACCATTTTTTTATTATGAGAAGAGAAACAGTTTTTCATTTAGGATATCTCAGTGCCCTGTATATTTTAATTTTAAAGAGGACCATGAGATGTTGTTGTAGTAGTAGTAGTAGTAGTAAAGGTGGAAGGGACCTTGGAGGTCATCTAGTCCAACCCCCTGCTCAGGCAGGAAACCCTATACCATTTCGGACAAATGGCTGTCCAGTCTCTTCTTAAAAACTTCCAGTGTTGGATCATTCACCGCTTCTGGAGGCAGGTTGTTCCACTGATTAATTGTTCTAACTGTCAGGAAGTTTTCTTCCTGTATCTGTTTTAAACCTAGATGCACCTTTTCAATATCTATCTGTTTTAAACCTAGATGCACCTTTTCAATATTTAAAACATTGCATTCTACTTAGTCTTAAGGAGTACATTTCATCTGTTTAGCATTTTATTGAAACTTTCTCCAAAATTGTTTTATAAATCATTCCAACAGCTATGGTGTTGAACCAGTAGCAGTATCCATGTGTTTTTATGGAACTGAATTCATAATTTATATGTGACTTTTTGTCATGTCTGACTAGTGGCCAGTGAAGCTTCCTTATTGCGGAAATTAACTTCAAAATTGCTACAGTCTTTTTTTATTTCTGAGAGGGAAAAGTCAGAAACTTTGTGGAAAGTATTGCAGAAGAAAATTATGTTAGTTTATGATGGCAAAAAAAAGTTTAATAGTATAAGTGGCTGACTAATTGCAAGAAATGGTTTGTGTATTTTGAGTATTAACTACTATTTTGATTTTCTAATACCTTAGAAAGTCAAAGAGACAGCTGCCAAACTTCCTTCCACAGTTCAGTATTCCAGACAGAATAAGAGAATGTGTGGAAAAGAAAACTGATATATTAATTTTTTATCCAGAACTTGGAGAGGTAAGTAAAGATCTCTTATCAATTTAAATGTACAGATGCATGAATCTGGTACAACTGTAATCAAATATCTTACTAGTAAGATTGACTAAATCCAGACTATTATACATAAATGTATGTTTAAGATCAATATGTGTGTTACACTAGACCAGCCTTTCTCAACCAGAATTTTTTTTATGCTATGCAGTGCTAATGCTCCCAGTGGTAGGAATTTTTGCACATGTTGACTCAGCTACCAGCCTACTGTTTTCCTCTTGTTGCAGATAATTGTAAAATGAATGTTATGTAGGATAGGAATGAATTATACTATGATTTTTGGTGGGGGGGGGTTGCAATTTTTACAATATGCCTAGCTTCTCTTGGGCTTCTTCAGGATAAAAAGACTGAGAAAGACTGCACTATAGCATATCTTTTATTAGCTATAGAGAGTAAACCCTTGAAACTTGGACTGAAAAGATATCAGCATTCTGCCTTTGCTTTCTTAAAAGCTTCAAGGTGGTCCCATTGAAGAATGGCAGAGCACATAAGTCTTTGTCGAGTCTAGCTCAGAATAACTAAAATATAGCTTTTTTTCTCACTTTTTACCAGTGAGGTGGGGGGAAAGAATTTGTTACAAAGTGCTAGCTTATAAGAACAGTGGTTTAGAATGGACTCATATAAGAGCGTATGCCTCATTTGAGAGCCAGTTTCATCTAGTGGTTAAGGCACCAGAGTAGAAACTGGGAGACAGTGAGTTATCATCCCGTTTTAGGCACAAAGCCAGCTGGTTGATCTTAGGAAGAAAGCAATAGCAAACCACTTATGAAATCTTACCAGGAAAATTGCAGGGATTTGTCAGGCAGTCACTAGGAGTCAAAGCTGCCTTGAAGGCACCAAAAATATGCCTCACTTGATTAAAAAGAACCATTATTAATTAGGAAATAATAAGCAACTGTACTTGTGTAGGCTTTTTTATTATTATTATTATTATTATTATTATTATTATTATTATTATTATTATACTAGTATTCTGACTATTTAACAACACTCAGCATCTTATATAACATAATAAAAGTTAAAACATCAATTGTATAATTAAAAACTAGCAATAACATTGTCGTGGTTCTGATAGATGAGACCAGCAAAAGCAGAACTCCAAGGCATGAGGTTTCCTTAAAGAACATGTTTATTGGCTACAAAATATCGGCACAGTCAAAAGTGAAACCAAGTCTGGACTTCCCTCCAAAGAGTTACAGTGTTACAAAGTTGAACTTCCCACCCTTGCTTGATGTAATTAACTACATTCCCCAATAGAATACTTTGGGGGGGTTTCTAACAGAAGGCTCAGCCCGCCAAAGACCTTGGTTCCCACGGGACAAAATATTGTTTAGTCTAACATTAAAACCATCCATCCCCCCTCCCAATACTGTGGCAACCGAAAACGAAGCAAAAATGGCTTCAGCCAAGATTGTTGCAGAGTTGACAGTCGGGTCCCCTAGAGAGAGAACAAATCCTGCAGACAAAGAAAAGTTAGAGTTAGGAATCTCCTCAAGGCTTATGAGGATGCTTATCAAAAAAATCTCTATATTAGCCTATCTGCCTTGATGTCAGCACTTTTTACCCACGTAGCTTCTGGTAGTGGGTATCCCTTCCACTGTACTAAATACTGTGATTTCCCTTTGTACAATCTAGAATCAAGAATTCGTTTTATTTCATAATGGGTTTCTCCCTGCACTAAAAGGGGACCACGTGCTTCTTGGGAACAGGTCTTAAGGAGGACTCCCTGACAGGTTTTAGTAAACTGTACCTGCTACAATAATCCAGGAGGCTTTCCAGGACCTTTTTTCATGGCTGCACAGCTTTTCACATTACTTTCCACATCCTTTTTCATACCTGGCCACCAAAATTGCCTTCTGACCAGATGTAAAGTCTTTAGAAACCCAAAGTGGCCACCCTGTTTGGCATTGTGGCTGCGCTGAAGTGCTTGGACTCTTAAGTGTTCCTGGCAAGTACAGTTTTGATCCCTTCCAGGCTACCATCTCGATAAGTCAGTAGCCCACTTTCTTAGAAGCAGAAAGTCACTGGTATAATCTAATACAATGTAATAATAATAGAAATAAAGTGCATTATTTATTTATTTGTTTATTTAGACAATTTATAATAAATATAATGCACTTAAATCATCCTGAAACACACACACACAAACACATACACACACATATCCATGGAACAATTTTCTTCCATGAAACCGATTCCTGGTGCCAAAAAGGTTGGGGATCTCTGATCTAGAGTAGGCATGAGGATGGGAATCTCTGGTGTCCAAATGTTTTTGAGATGCCATTCCCCAAAGCAGCATCACTAATTCTGAGAAGACCTGTAGATCTAGAGCTCCTGTAATTTAAATTTTCTCAACTTCTTTGTGTTTCAGGGTTTAACTCTACTTAATTATAAGACACACTTTTCTACTCTTTTGTGGCTTGAAGAAATCCATGCAGAGGCGGAACTGAAGGAGTTTGCCATGTGTGGGGTCACTTTGAAAAAAAATGGAAATTTCCTAGTACTTGAAGTACCAGGGATCATAGAGGGCCGCCCTTCACTATTCCTTGGTAGGTACTTTCTATAATTTTATATACAGAAGCTATATACTGCAGTCCTCATTTCTGCCTCGCTGAAGCACAGCTAGAAGCGTGTGACTTGGATCATATAAGCAATATACTTAGCCTTTTCCCCATTAGTGTTATACTTGTTTTTTTAAAGAATTTTATTTATAATTTACTGTCGACCAGATCACAGTCCACATTCAAGCAAAATTAGCACAATTAAAGAACTATTAAAATTACACACTAGTGGTATATTTACAGCAGTGGTCCCCAACCCTTCCGGCTTTGCGGACCGGCAGCGGCAGGGGGAAAGAGAGGAGATGGTTCCGCGTAAGCAGCGAGCACATGCACCTGCTGCTCATACAAGTTGCAGCCCAGTTCCGAATGGGCCATGGCCCAATACCAGGCTGGGGGTTGGAGACCCATGATTTACACTCAATGTAAATGATTTCATTTTATATTACTATAACCTGATACCTTTTCCATCCAACTTTGCCAATAAGGCAACAGAGCAGCCCTGCTATCTAATAATTGCTATTTTCAGCAACTGCTCACAACCTCTTTCACCAGTCAATCTGCTTTATTAAATAGATTTTCAAATCTTTCTTAAATATATCCAAAGATATGCAGTTGTGCATTGGTTTTTTTCCATTGACACGACTGCTATCTCAGGGAAACACGACCAAGGAAGGAGCAGGTTCACAGTTTGAGGTTTTTTCTGGACTCATGGCTCCTATTGGAAGAACAGATAAAAAGATGCATCAATTATTGAATTATCTGATGCAGGAAAACCTAGCTGCCCTCATTATCACCCAGTTATTTTTTATTTATTATTTTATTGCTTTTCAAATAATAATAACAAGGCCTTACACTGAAGGCCCTACACTGGTTGTTGATTGCTATCAAAGCATAATTTGACTCAGTTGGGTTTAGTGGTTAAGGCACCAGGCTAGAAACTGTCATGGATCCACCCCTGAACCCCCTACAGGTGCGAATTCAGAAGAGAAGGGTGAGTTTGAGTCTGCAGAGGAAAGCACGGAGCTGAGTATTGGTCAGGATTAGGGCTCAGAGTGCTAATTTGATGGAGCAGCTGGGTCAATCAGACAAGGGGCAGACTGAGGCTGAAGGAGGTGAGCCACAGCTACAGCAAATTGGTTAGGAAGCTCTAGACAAGGACAAGGAGCAGTTGCTGTCTGTTAGCAATGAGGAGGAGGTGGAGTCCACACCGCCTCCTGATCCAAGGACACTAGAGCAGAGAGGAGACAGATACGTTGGTCAGCTATACTATTCATGAGGAGGCAACCTCGCCTCTCATGAAGGGCTGCACTTATTTAATCCAGTCCTGAGGATTTGAATGTTGCTGGAGCAACGTACCCAGTTCTGTGCCTTGTGCTGTGTATCCTGATCCGTTTGAATTGTGGATTGCTTTCCTGGACTTTGTGTGTCCCTGTTGGACTCAGTTATCCAATGACTCTTGCTGTGCTGAGCTCGGAATCTGGACCTGCGCACGATGTGCTTTCTGAGGGGGGAAGGGGGTTGAATAAATGCCTGTATAACTCTTGCTGTATGTGTGTGTGTGTATGTCGGGAGCGGGGCACCACAGAAACCAGGAGACTGAGTTCTACACCCATCTGTCTGACTTTGGACCAGTCTCTTTCCACCGAACCCACTTCACAGAATTGTTGTGGGAAATTAAGAGGAGTATTAGGTATGTTAGCTGCCTTCAGTTATTTATAAAAACAAAGGCAGGGTGCAAATAAATAAAAATAACTGAAAGTCTGGTATTGACTTTAAAACCTTGGTGGCTTGGTACATGAGTACATGATGGTTGGCTCACCAGATCTTCTAGGGCAGAGATATCAAACTCGCAACATCATGTGATGTGTCGTGACGTATCGTGACTTTTTTTCCATTGCCGGCAATGGGGTGGGTGTGGTTTCACTGTGACGTATCCAGCCCGTGGGCCGGCAGTTTGACACCCCTGTTCTAGGGAACAACTTATGGTCCCAGTCTTGAAACTAGAAGCTGCTTCTCTGTGGCAGTTCTGATACTTTGGGATGGGTTCCTGGCAGGGATCAAACTATTTCCCTCCTTTTGGGCCTTCAGGTAAATATGGAGAAATAGAAGCTTACTAATTTGATATAGTGATATGGTTGGATTTCCTAATTCTGTTCCATTTGCAAAATTATTACACTTGGTACCAAGGGAAATAATGTAACATATACACTTTAAATTAGGTGACAGAGTGATACTGAAAACCCAAGACTATTCAGAGGAGATAATCCACTATGTTGCATATGTTGCTGAGGTAAGTTAACTAGTTCTTTTTGATTTATTTTGTGTACATTTATGTCTTAATAATGCAGCTCAGCCATATTTACTTAAAATAACTCTCTTGTATTATTAGGAATTAGTTCTATGTTAGTGATGTAAAATTGTATCCTTCAATTTGGGGGTTTTTTAACTCCGAATTTACTGCATTTAAACTTTAATTTATATGACCTCATACCAGATTCCTACATGTGTTCGGTTCTTGCAGTTTTTGGAACTTTAGTAAATATATTAATAAAAGAATCTGTCAAATAGTTCGAGTAGGAACATAAAATTTAACTCTTGGTGTTTTGTTAAGAGTTTTTTAAGTATGGGTATATAGTGAAATAATTAGCTTCTTTTGTTTATATAGATTCATGATGAAGATGTTACTCTGAAACTCAACTCAGAATTTGAACAGGCATATAATTTTGAACCTATGAATGTGGAATTTATTCATAGCAGGTACTGTTTTGAATACTTGCATCTCATTTCATTGTGAGCCATAGTATATATGTTCTTGCCAGTTCAGGAGACTACATTCTGGTTCTCTCAAGCACTCAAAATGGATAAAAAAAAATAATGTTCACATTGGTAAAGGGTGGGTCTTAAACGATTACTTTGCAGCCCACGTAGAAGACCGTGATTGCTTTTGTTTGAAGGTTCCTCGTAATTACCATTATACAAACCCTAAAGTATTTTTTTTAAAAAAAATACTTTGATAATGGTCAGAGAGACCTCTTGGGGTGTTTGCTAATATTCATAAGAATAAATTTGATAATGAATAATTAATAAATGCATAAAAAATAAGAGCCAGTTTGGTAAGCGATTAAGGCACCAAACTAGAAACCAGGAGTCTGTTAGTTCTAGTCCCGTTTTAGGCACAAAGCCAGCTGAGGCCAGTCACACTCTCTCAGCCCAGCTCCTCTTTGTGTCAAGTTTCAAAGCACAGTTTTGCTCCTGCGACAAATATTGCTTCTCAGCTTGCCAACGAACTTGGGGGGGAGGGGAGAGGTTTGGAATGCAGACTTCAAAGATTAAGAAGCCAGACCATGAGATTCAAGGACATTACACCAGGTGCCTGGCCAGACCCGGAGATGCTTTCTCATAACAATATTTTTCCACTTGATTGGGCAATGTGGCCTGACGCAGAGGGAGGAGGAAGAATTCAATGCTTTTACTATAGGGGTTTGGGAGGGGTCTTGCCAGAGCTGTTTTGCTTTCATTAGTGCCAAAGTGATGTACTTAAGAGAACGGAATGTCTCAAAGGTGTTTGCTTGGTTAGGTTTGTCAGTCGGAACCTTGACACTTTGTCTATCATTCTTTGTGTTCTACCTCAGATTACTAATCCCAGATCACTTCTTTCTGCCTTTGTTCCCAGGCACACATATGGAGCACATTGTGTTATTTTTCTCCTCCTGTTAGACTTGGTCTGCCTGCAGTGCATTTTTAAATAACTCTTTTCTGTTATGGTTGTAAAAACTGCACTTTTTCTTGCTCAGGTTACAGTCACAACTCTAAAGACACAAACACAGAATGTTTCTGCCTCCAATAGCAATTAAATGTGGCATTTGGTCTGCGAATTGTCAGCCTTTGTTTAAGATAAGCCTTTATTATTTTTAATCTTAAAGGATCCCAAAATAAATCAGTCTAACAAAATAATTGGTGGATTACATAGCATTCCTTGATTCCAGCCTTGGGCTGTCTATTAGGCACCTTCCCATCAAACAGATGCAGTATTGTAACAGTCAGAGTGTCTTTGTTGCCATTTCACAGCTTTTGTTTGTTAATGACATCTGTTTTGTTAATGAATTTGTTTTTAATATAAGATTTCAAATATTTCATATAATATTTTGAATACTAATATGGATTTTTTGGTACCAATTCTAATAATGAGCCATTTGCAGGCATTTTTTAAGACATCTCATTTCTCCACTCACCCTTCCAAATTTAGGAAAATGAAATAATAGTGCTTTGGATAGGTGATATGTTTTGCAGTTGCTAAGACAAGAAATATGAGCAAACACAAATGGATTTAGACATGCTTTCCTGATATCATATATAACAGCGGTCTTGAGCATAATATATTGGTCAGGCTTAATCTGTTGGAAATTATGTTTTAGCCTTTTTTCTGAAATTTTCACAGGATAACAACCAGAAGATGTCATCATGCAACAGAACAAGCCATCCATTTAGGAGCAAAGGGTATAATATGTCTTACCTACTTGTTTATTTTTACTGAAACTGTAATAGTCTAGATTTTTTTCATTGTTACAATTTCAGTAGACATGGTACATTGAGTTAGGTTATTGTTGAACCTTACAAATAAACATTTTAGCATCTTCTACAAGGATAGCTTCTATTAATTTCTTATTTTTCTTATTTTTTGCTTTTTATTCCCAAGTTTTGTTTCCTGATATTCTTATTGTGCAATCACCACAATTCATTAAGCAACAGAATGATTCAGAATATTCTTACAGCATTCCAAAACAAAGTGTTATCCAAGAAACTAAGGTAAACTCCTGCCCGTAATCTACTTCTCCATTAATTAATTTTATTGCTGTGTTGTTTAACCAGCTTGTTTGTAAGTAAAATGTGAAATGTGTTCATTTGTTTTTGTATTTAACATGTCATTTAACTATATTTTATTTTATTAGTCTTATATGTTGCTCCAATCCTAATTACTCTGAACATCTTTACATTATCTTGTAATAAAATTAGCCATACACAATACACAATAATAATAACAACAACAACAACAACAACAACAACAAACTGGGCACCACATACATACTCCCTTCCAAGATGGATCAGTGTCTTTATAAATCTCTGTGGAAGACAGTCTGATCTCTGGAGGAATGCTATTCCAGACAAATGGGGATTAGAAAAGATTGACCACCGAGATCCCTGAAGATAACATTTGCCAGGAGCTAGAGCCCAGAGAGAGATTTTTGTTCTAGATCTAATGGGTGGGCAGCATGCCCTTAGGACAAGGGAGTACTGAAGATATCTACACATTGAGATTCATTTATTTATTTATTCAATTTATTTGCCACCTATCTTACCACAGGGTAACTCTGGTAGTCTTACAATATTAAAAAATAAAATTATATAAATAAAATATTACAAAAGTATAAAAATACAAAATACAATAGCTCAAAGTTGGGAAGAGAGGAAGTAGGATAAATGCAGTGGGGCCTGATATTAATCTTATCAACCATCCCAACATGAAACCTTCCTTTGAAGCCCCAGATCAGCCGGCAGACCTAGATCTTTAGGCTCTTACAGGAGGGTTGGAGTAGATTTCACTTCAGGGAACAAGATGTCCCAAAAGGGCAGGTGCAATGGTAGGGCTCTTCTAGACCCTGCCAGCCAGAATACCCTGATGGGGTCCGCAGCATGCCTCTGCCGGCCTGGGTGGGGCAGCCAATCCCAGTGGGATGAGACAGTCCCTTAAGTCAGCAGTCCACAACCTTTGCAGCTTGGTGGCCCAGCTGGGGGAGAACCGGGCCACACAAGCGGCAGGCCGGCACACACACATGCAGCTTGACTCATGCAAGCAGCGGGTCGGTGCACAGGCATGCACATGCAGCACGCAGCTTGACTCATGCAAGCAGTAAGTTGGCACACAGGCATGCACATGCAGCTCGAGTACAAGTCGAGCTGCACGTGCATGTGTGCGTGCGCTAGTCTGCCACTCATGCAAGTTGAGCTGTAGGCACACGTGTGCACCAGCCTGCTGCTTGCATGCATTTAGGTGTGTGTGCACCAGCCCACCATTCATGTGAGTTGAGCTGTGCGCGCGTGTGTGCGTGCGCACCAGCCTGCAGCCCAATTGCGAATAAGCTATGGCCCGAGAGTGGGCCACAGCCTGGGGGGTTGGGTACCCCGCTTTAAGTAACCTGGACCTATACCATGTTGGGCTTTAAAAGTGATTATCAAACACTTTAAATTGCACCCAGACCAAACAGGTAGCCAGTGCAGCTCGTGGACCAGTGGTGTTACATGGGCCACCATTGGGCCCCCAAGAACTTTCCATGCCACTGAACTCTGCAGCAACTGTAGCTTCCAAATGCTCTTCAAAGGTAACCCCATGTAGAGCTCATTGCAATAGTCCAACTGTGAGATGATTAGGGCTTGAATGACAGTGCAGGGACTCCTGATCCAGGAGAGGCCCCAACTGGCGCACAACCCAAAGTTTTAAAGGTTGTTGCCAGCTTTTTAAATTGTATCTTGCAATCTGCTGGTAATCAGCATTTAGCAGTAACAGAAAAGTTAGGACCATTTTGGCAGAGTAGAATCTTGAATTCTAAATAATTCTTAAGTAAAAGCTTAGTAGTGCATATGTCTTGACAAGAAATAGCATCTGATTTAGTTTGTCTAAGCTTGGAAACAGTGGCATCAATAACAAACTTCGATGTCAGAATAGTTACATGTGCACTACAATATCTTCATATAAACACTGTATTTATGTACATTAACAATATTACTAATGATAAGCTTTTCAAGAACTTTTTAGAATCCGCTTGTGAATATTTTAAGTTACATTAAAATTGGCACTTTATTCGAAGTGAATAAATGAAACATTACAAATGTTGATTTTCTTTTTTTGCTGCTTTCAGGAAGAAGGGATAAAAAAGGAAAAACAAATGCCAAAAAATGAAAAAGTTGTTTCTGATACAGTTACTATTGCCACACAAACAAGTTGGTATCATTTTGTTGGGATAATATAAATTGGTTTAGAGGGTGCATTTTAAATACTTGTTAATTTTTGCTATATCAAATGGCAAACAATCTATACTTGTTACCTATTTAAAGGGATATGTGTTTTGAAGGTTACTATAATTTTGGAGACATTTCCATATACTGTGTTTTTTTTAATTCTGTGTACCATAATAAGATGTTCATTAAATTGTATAATTTTGGATATAGTAAATAGAATTCTAACTTGGAATAGACAAGACTGTGACTTTTTCAACCCTCTGCTGAATGAGCATCAGAAACTCGCAGTTAAAAGGATTCTTAGTGGTGAATGTCGTCCAACTCCTTATATCCTATTTGGGCCACCAGGAACCGGCAAAACTGTCACAATTATTGAAGCAATTTTGCAGGTAATAGTGAATTGTAACTGGTTCTTGTCTCTGCTATTTTTAATCATGTTAACTCTTTGTTAAAAATTATTCACCCTTTTTGTTTGGGAATATACTTTGTGAATGAATACTTGCTGCTGTGGAAGATAGGAATTGCTGATGGATTTTCTCATCTACAGATAACAGAGTTTTAACATGCATGAGAATGCTTTGAAAAATAACAAGACCTTTTCTGTCTAGATTAAAATAACATGAGAATAATTACAGTAATGTGCTTTGAATGCTACTTTGGTACATGCTTTAAAAAGGATGCTACAGGAAATTGTAACTTTTTATGGTGGATCAATATGAAGAAATAAAGCACCAGTGCATAATTGTAGCTTATTGAAATATTCTGAATATTGTGTTAATGTCTTCTCAGTCTTCAGTACTGCTAGTAAATATATGCACATCTAGCATGGAAAGAAAATAATATTGGAATTTAATTGGTTCAATATAATTCTTAAAAATTACCATGTAACTGTTCACTGTATTAAGAATATCAGTTAACAATACAACATATGAATGCTTGTTTTCGTCTAATTAGATATATTATAGTTTACCAAGCAGCCGAATACTGGTCTGTGCACCATCAAACAGCGCTACAGATCTTATTTGTTTACGACTTCATGAGAGCAACTTGTTAAGACCAGGAGTTATGGTCAGAGTTAATGCAATCAACAGAAATGAAGAGGTAAAAATGTATCTAAAAGACTTTCTTGCTCTATGAGTCATTCTGTCTCATCATTAGACAAATGGTGCATTTAAAGCTCAGAATTAGTTATAACCAATTAGTTCATACTTGTTTTAATTGACTAGGGCTTGGTTTTCCAAGTTACTCTGTTACCATCTGTTACTTGCTAATTCTCCTCCTAAATTGTTGAATATGATCTCTCCTGAATGATTGAATCTTAAATCATAGGCTCAATAAGTCAGTTTCTCCATAAGAAAAGTCAGAGTCAAGATGTAGAAAGGGTTGAGGGAATTTCTCCAGGGTTCCCATCAGGACAAAGATGTATCAGGTTCTAGTGTTTAATAGAAGAAATTGAGATTTTTCTTTGACTTGGATATTTTTGAAACAATAGAACTTCCAGATGAGATTAATCCTCTCCAGAAACTAGTTCATAATTGCATTATACCTATGCAGTTTTGTTGCAGAATCTACTTACAAAGAACAAAGGTAAAGAGCTATATGAATATATTGTACAGTTTTAAAACAGCAGATACAACTTAATGACATAAGGGATCACTGTGTAAAGATACAATTTTACACAGTGATTCCCTATGTCATTTTGTACTGAGAAATATTGTAATTTCTTGATGTATAAATCAAATGTGTACATAACAACCCTAGGCAGTAAATCGTTAAGTTAAAAACAAAACCTAGTACATAAAAGCAAATAAAAGATGATGAAAACAAGGGAAATTCACAGAGGGCATATATTCCCTTTCACCTTCAAGACCATTTTAAAGTATAGCAGGGTTACACCTACTTGAGCTTCTTAGGGCTCTATGTGTGTGCACATGTGTATATGTGCGCAAGTGTGTTTGTAAGTATAATACTATTCCAGAGGGCAGGTGCTGAATAACTTCCTCTAAGCATTTCAGCAATGAAAGGTAGAGAATAGTAGAGAAACCAAGTATCTAACAGAATGCAAAGGGGTCAAAATTAAAACAGAACATAGACAGAAATGTTCTGAGAACTCAGATTTTCAAGAAGGGACATGGTGCTTCAGAGCAAAAATATTTGAGAGGAGGATCTCACTCAGTTTTCAAAATTAAATTGAAAGATAGGATACAAATCAAATTAGGGATGCTTCATTGGTATGAAGAGGCATTACCTTCCTTTCATAATATAATAATATAATACATATCATACATTGGAAAGAATGACTCGTGTCTGCAGTTGAAAATGTGTGAACTTAACTGATGATAGACATATTAATAACGTCTTTCTTTGTATTGGCAGAGTTTTAATGAAGTAATAAAGTTTTACTGCAAAGGTGGGGAAGATATTCATGAAGCATCTCGGTTTCGAATAATTATTGTGACATGCAGCAGCGCAGGATTGTTCTACCAGATAGGGATAAGGTACTGTGTAAGCTTTTCTGACTATTCCAGGAAAAGTAGGATATAAAAATATAAGCAACTTCTTAGAGAGAAGGAAATGGAGAGCAAGAAGCTATTTGAACTAAGTAAATGGGCAAAAAATTCCCTCCCCAACAGACTGGAGTTACTCCACATGGGAAAAGATCCCGGTAAATGAAGAAGAGGAGTTTCTTTCAAGATTCATATTGTCATTAAAAATACATAATAGCCATATATTGCAAGTAAAAGTTGACAATTAACTTTATTTCTTGTTCTTGACCCTCCAAGTAGAATCTATATAATTGCCACTGTGAGATAAAATGCAGATGTTTACTCATTTGTACTGTACCCCAGTCATACATTTACACTAGGCTACAGTATATCTGAATCTGGATATACAAAGACATTCTCAGAATCCCACAATCAAAATTGGATAATTATCATTTTTATACTAGGCTACAATATATCTGAATCTGGATATGCGAAGACATTGTCATAATCCCACAATCAAAATTGGATAATTATCATTCCTTGCTATTTTCACATTGAGATTGCACAGTGGCAATTGAAAATTCTATACTATGAACCTCAGTGTTCTTGAAAACATAATAACTTGTCAAAATCTATAATGGGCTTAACTGAAAGTAAATACTTTTGTTTTACCAATGTTACTTGGGTACAGTGTTCATTGTTTTTTAAAGTGATGTCTGAGAATGCAGAGCATACTACAAGTAGTTCCAATTTTTATTCAACAATATTAGGTTTGGACATTTCACACATGTATTTGTGGATGAAGCAGGGCAGGCAAGTGAACCAGAAAGCCTAATCCCTCTGGGATTGATTTCAGAAGTCACTGGGCAGGTATATAAGTTTTTATTATATCAAATCATTATATCTAACTGTTTATGTCTGTTGTGTAGAGATTGTTTGATGTTCTCTAAGGAGGAAAAAATTCTGTTTGTAGATACTGCTTGCATGCTGTTGATCTAATGTACCTAAAATATATAATATGAAACGTGCCCATTACTAGAAAAACAGCCATGCCTATTTCAAATATTATTCATCCATATCTTGGCAATGGACTGCACTGTCACAAGTTCAGTTTTCATCCCATATCTCTTAAGTTTTATTCAAAAAGGAAGAGGGGAAAATCTTAATTGATTATGGATGCCACTAATGGGAGGGGGAGGGGGCAAGATCATCGGCCGGCCGAACTTCCGGATTTGCCGGCACGGAGAAACTCGCATGCCAGAGCATCTTATACAAAAGTGCATCTTATAGACGGGAAAATATGGTAATTAAAACTCCTTCATATCGTCATGAGGTGCTCATACTACTGAATCCTCAGAAATCTTTTAATCATCTCAACTTCTAATGATACAGAGAAATACAGGTAATCCTCGTCCGAAAACCACAATTGAGCCCAACATTTGTGTTGCTAAGTAAAACAGTTAAGTATGTTTTGCCCCATTTTACAACCTTTCCCGCCACAGTTGTTAAATCAATTTCTACTGTTGTTAAATTAGTAACACGGTTGTTAAGTGGATCTGGCTTTCTCACTGCTTGTCAGAAGGTTGCAAAAGGTGATCAACACGACTCTGGAACACTGCAGCCATCCTAAACGCATGCCAGTTGCCAAGCATTGGGAATTTGATCATGTGACCATGGAAATGCTGCAATGGTCATAAGTGTGAAAAACTGTCATAAGTCACTAATTTCAGTGCTGTTATAACACCGAACAGTTACTAAACAAATGGATGCGAGTCGAGGACTACCTGTTGCTGCCCATTACAGCACTGATCATAAGTTTGATCCCACAGCCCTAAGAATGTTCTTTCCTTCCATTCTGGAGATAAGAGGAAAGTCACCTGTTTTTAAAACTGCTGATTATCCCACAGCGTTCTGCTTTCTATACTTCAGGATTTGGCCAGAAAGTTGTTCTCTCCTTCTCTTACTGTCAAAAGAGAAGGAGAAAGGAATTTTCCTTCCTTGTTGCCTGCTTCTCTCCCTACCAGGGCAAGTATGGATTTCTCATCTTCCTTCCTCTTCTCCCTTCCCTGGTCCTCCATTCTTGTGAAAGAACATCTCTGCTAGTCCCAACAGCAATAGTAGGTCACTGGCCCACCCACGGCAACACGGGAGGGGTTAACTGTGGCTGCTATTGTTGAGGGAGGTATGGATGTAAAGGAAGTTATAATGACAGCAGAGGATCTGGGAGAATGAAGGATCTGCAACTGACTATAGGGAGAGAGGGAAACAAGCGAGAGAAGAAGGGATTGGGGAAAGCAAGGGAAGCTACAGGCAAGAAGATCAGCAAAGTGGGAAGGTATTCCATGAAGTTAGGCTTTCTCTACACCAGTGGTTCTCAACCTGTGGGTCGGGACCCCATTTGGGGTCGATCGACCATTTCATGGGGGTCGCCATGCAAGGCTGTCCGCCATTTTTTTTGCCTGCCATTTTTTTCCCCCTTTTCCGGCGGGTGCCTTACCTCCCTTGAGCTGGGCCAGCTGGTGGTCGGCCTGCTCCGTCTCTGTTGCTTGCCAGCTACGCCTCGGCTGGTGCAGGGGGCGGAACCACGCATGCGCGGCACTCCCGGGCAGGGAAAGTCCTCGACTTACGACCGGTTTAGTCCTCGACTTACGACCGGTTGGGGTCGCGGCATTAAAAAGGTTGAGAACCACTGCTCTACACCAAAGCAACTGCCAGTACTGGCTGGTGGTGAGATTCTGGCCTCTAACTGAAATAGCCAAGAGTTAAAGAGCCTTTCAGCAAGATAGGAGAGAGTGGTCCTGCAACATCTCTATTGACAAGGTTACCAGTCTCCTCTTCTAGTGACACAATTACACAGGAGATTTTTTTTTCTATTTCTCCAGTGAAGACATTAAATTACCGTATTTTTCCGCCTATAAGACGCACCCTTGTATAAGACGCTCTGGCATGCGAGTTTCTCCGCGCCGATCAGTTGAGCCGGCAAATCCGGAAGGCCTCAGTTTGCCACAGATGATAGAACTTCTGCCGAGAGTGTTTATCTTTTGTATGGAGTGCTTCTGGGCCAGATGAGGCCTGGAGAACGAGTTACTAGATATTTCTACTATATAGACTAACCAGATTATTCCTCTCCTTTCTATATACTGTATGTTGTAGTAATAAAAATAGGTAAAATTTAAAAATCACATCAGAGTATCTCTTGGTCAATAGCAGTCTGCCTGCTAGTTAAATCTTATAGAAGGCATTGTGAGCTTTTGATCCACTTGAGCAGGGGTAGGCAACCTCGGCTCTTTTATGCTGACTCAGGAATTCTGGGAGTTGAAGTCCATGAGTCATAAAAGAGCCGAGGTTGTCTACCCCTGCGGAACAGCCGTATTGGTAGAAATATTGCTTCTAAGTGAAAACCTGGAGATGCTGCCTTGGGAAGATTATGCTTCTTTTTATTCAAATGTAATAGTAACTCAAATACAATGTCCTACTTATGGATAACTATTTTTTATTTAAAAAAATAGAGAGAAATGGGTATTACTTCTGTATTGGTGGCCTCTGTCTCCCAGATTTTTGTTATGTAATTCATGAAGAGCGTTATATGAAATGCAAGTTATCACATTTTTAAAAAATGTTCTGTATCTGAAGATCATACTTTCAGGGGATCCCATGCAACTAGGTCCAATAATAAAATCTAAGCTTGCAACACTTTATGGATTAAACATCTCTTTGTTGGAGAGGCTGATGCATCGCCCTTTGTACCTGCGAGATGAGGATGCTTTTGGTCCTTGTGGATCATACAATCCTGTGTTGGTAAGTGGAACTGGGGAATAGAGTGATCAAGAGCTGCTTTCAAGCTGACAGATTATTTATGTGGAAGTTTCCTAAATCTAAGACATTTGTATCAAATTGCTGTTAATATAGCAAATTTGTGTGCATTGTGAATTTTGATTAAATTTAGAGCTGCAGTATATGGACTTCCATATGAAGGAACCCTAGTGGCACAGTGGTTAACGTGTAATATTGCAGGCAAAGTCTGCCCACAGCCTAGAATTTAATCATGATGGGGCTCAAGATTGATTCAGGCTTCCATCCTTCTGAGGTCAATGAAATGAGGATTCAGATTGTTGGGGGCAATATGCAAATAATGCTTCTACATTGTAAACTGTCCAGAGAGTCCTGTAAAGCACTATGGGGTAGTATATAAGCCTAAATGCTATTGCTATGGCTATTCTTCAGCTATAATTGACTACTTTAAATATATTTAAGATAACATTTATTTTTGGATCAATTTTCAGGCTGTTTGCCATTATAATTTTAAATGACTAAATCATGTAATGGGAGACACTAACTAATCACCTTTGGGAAGCAATGTTTCTGTTCCTCAGACCTGAACAACTTGTGAGTCAATCTCACATGTACACAAGTTAGCAAAAACTAGTACCATATAAAACATCTTGTGCAGCTGAATGACAGGGACTACTAATTGTGAATAGAGAACCAACAAAACATTCAGTAGTTGGATCTGGTTTTCTCTTTGCTACCCCCATGTATTGTGGTATTAATATTGTTGAAGCCAAGAGGAATCAAGAGGAGCACATAGTTGTGGGTTTGACTGGTGCTCTGAAAGCCCTCCCTTCACCTTTTAACTAATTTTAAGAGTGTTTAATTATCTTTGCTTCCTTTTAAATGCTTAACTTTTCTATTGTGTTTAAACTGCCCAGAGTCCCTCTCTGAGAGACATGGGTTATTCAGAAATGTGAAAAATAAATATATATATTTTTCAAGCTTAATTACTAATGGAGGTTGAGTTCACAATTGGATAGACTTCTTTATGTTAGTATAGGAAAGTCAGTGATGTGGATGAATCCATGTGTTTGCATTATGAGTGAGAGATAGAAATGGTGGCTCCCTTTTTTAGTTCCACATATGAATGATACTCAGAATGTGACTGAAAACAATGTCCTCCTGATGTCCTAAATGTAACCTAGTAGGGAGCCATTTAGAGTTCCTCAGGTATTCTGTCTCGCTTTACAGAACTGGACTCACCTATCAACATGTTAATGCTTCCGAATATAGCCGTATTCATTTTCATGCTATGGTGTTGGTTCTATGCTTGCAGATTACAAAGCTTGTGAAGAATTACAGATCACATGGCGCATTGCTTGCATTGCCATCCAAGCTATTTTATCATAAGGAACTAGAAGTCTGTGCTGATCCTTCCGTGGTAAACTCTTTGTTGGGGTGGGAGAAGCTGCCAAAGAAAGGCTTTCCACTGATTTTTCATGGAATGAGGGTATGTAAAGAAATCAATATTTGTTGCATTATACTTAAAATTAGATAGATTTTAGAAATCTCAGACATACACAAAAGTATGTAAATCAATAAGCATATCACATTATTTAGATTGTTGTGATACCATGTAGTTTGAATACAACAAGAAATTTAACATAAATGTTCCTTTTCTTTATAATTGTATGTATTATTGTGATTTATCTTTGCAAGAGAATATTACAATCTGCTGTTCCATTTTGGGAAAAACCACATTGAGGGCTCTTGGGCATCATAAAATAACAATTTTAATTTTGCTTCTAGGTGCTTTAAAAGAATTGTGTAAAAACCAGATGCAAGAAGAAGCTAATTAGCTTTCTACCTTCATACATTTCATCTTAAGAATAATGAAAATATAACGATGTCACTCTGCTGATGAAAACTGTTTTCATTAATTTGTGAATGAAGATTATGTTCTAGAAAGGATGAGGACAAATGTTTAAATTAAAAACTATTTCTGGAGAGACATAAGTGATAAAAAATGCTTAACTGTATCTCCTGTTTTTCATTGGTTGAAATTACAGCTGATTTTTTAAAAAATTGCTTTAGTACCCAAACCTTTCTAAAAAAGGGAAGATATATTCAAAGACTACATAATTTGATGGAGGCCACATAGAAGTAGAATAAGGGGGAAGTGAGCATCATCAAAAGATAACAATGTATGAATCCAGAGTAAAGCCACTTTTTCTTAAATCTACTCTTTTTATATTCACCTCCACAACTATCTTATTTACTCACTAAACCATCAATTTCATTTTACTGAAAATTATGAGGCATTAGGGAGGGCTCTGTGCAAAGAATTTGGAGAAACCTGCAGAATATATATTACATTTTTATTGTTGGGAAACTACAAATTATCCAGAATAAATTAGAAATGGCTGCAGAAAATGTATTCCTTTTAGCAAAGAACAATGACTTATTACTGTTCAAATTCTGAACTGCTAATGATGCCCCATAAAATCTTAATTTTAAGGACCAGTTCTTCTGTAGAAACCTCCATATACTAAAATCCATTCAAAGAGGGTTTTTTTCTGTAATGAGTGACTTAAAGCCCTTTTTTAAATTGCCCCAAAGCTACAGTGGTATGTTCAGTCACTATTGTACAGAGTCTCCTCAGGATGATAAACATAATATTTTTGGAACAGCTCTGGTTATTAAATGCCTGTTTGGACTTTTTATTATTAACATAAGCACTGTGAAAAGAGAGTTAAGTATTTGAAATAATATTTTTTTTCTGTGTTTTTCATTTCTTGCCTTGCTAACAACATTAGGGTATGGAAATGCGTGAAGGCTGCAGTCCTTCTTGGTTCAATCCTACAGAAGCAGTTCAAGTGATGCGCTACTGTTGCCTTCTTGTTAAAGGCATCAGCTGTTCAGTATCAGGGAAAGACATTGGGGTAGTTGCACCTTATCGAAAGCAGGTATAGCTTTGTAATCCAGCTTTTTATATTTGTTTGGGTATTTTTAATTGCATTGTATATTTTGATGTTAATTTGTTTGTTTGTTTGTTTGTCTGTTACATTATTGGACTATAAATGTGAATACTAAAAACATTCTTTTTGGGGGGGGGTGTTAAGAGATACGGTATTCCTGAATCTCCTCATTCAAGGGCTTTGAAGTTCCCATGATATATTTCTCAGCTTCCCAGATTGAAAATAATTTTACAATAATTTATTCATTTTATCAAGCTGATTTTTTTTACCTAAAAGGCAGTTTAAAAAACAATGTTAGAAAACCTGAATTGGATATTTTGGAATATTTTGAACAGCACAATGAAAAACAAGTTGCATTAATTTTTTTAGATGCAGAGGAAGCTTCCGATAGTTTGAACTGGACATTCTTATTTAAAAGTTTGAAATATATCTACTTTGGGGAGAATTTTAAAAAATGAATAAAATCTATTTATACTTTACAGAAGGCATAAACAATTGTTAATGGAGATTTATCTATACCCTGTGAGGAACAACACAGAGTTGTCTATTGTCTCCTGCTGATTTTAGCTTTAGAAATATTAAATAAAGACAAAACAAGAAGATTTAAGAATGTAAAGATTGAAGAAAAAATATAAATTAAGAGCTTTTGCAGGCAATCAGTGCAAAAAATAGTGTCAGCTATTTTCCCCAGCTTGATATCGTTGGCATGTTTGATGATTTCCCCCTTCTATTCCTCATCTAAATCATTTATGAAAATTTTGAAGTGTATTGCCCCTAAGACAGAACCTAGAAGTACTGCATTGCATGCTTCCCTCCATGTAGATATTATTCCAATGAGGACTATTTGCTGAGTGCAGTTGGTCAGCCAATTGTAAATCCATCTGATGGGTAGTACTGTATAAACCACCTTGTTTTACAAAGTTTACATTGTTTCCTAGAGTAGTTAAAGTTGGTGAATGACCAATGTGGTTCACATTTTATTTTTAGAAAAAAAATATCGACAAATAATATAAAAAATGAGCTCAGTAAAAATGAATTTTTACTGAGACTAACTAAAAAATAGTTTTGAAAAGTATACTGAGAAAATTGTTTCTTCAGAAGTATAATACCAGTGCCTCAAGTAGAAGATCATAATGATAGACAGTGATCTGAAACATTGTTGAAGATGTTTTAATGTGCAGCCTGGCTTTATGTAGCTCAGTTTTTCTCATTCATAAAAGATATGCATAGTGAAAAATAGATGTTTGCAAAAGTGTGCTTCCCCGTCCAAGACAATCCTTGATAGTTGGTAGAAGATACTCTATCGAATTTTGAAATAATTTGATAAACATGAAAAAACGGAAAAAATAGTGGATAATTACCCCAAGAAAAGTAGGCCTTATTTGAAGATCTGCAATTAATTTATTCATTTTAAGTACATTTAAATTTAGATTGCTTTCAATAAACTTCCATATTTTCTAACTCAAATTGTAGTAAAGTAGATAAAGAGATAACTATTCAAAAATTTCAAAAATACAATTCAGAATTGACTTGTTTAACTGTTTCAAAACCTGAATCATTTTAATCAAATCATGATGTTATTTTTTTTGAGACCAGTGCTTTCTGTGAAATAATATGTGTCATTATTTTTAGGTAGAAAAAATCACAGTTCTCTTACGCAATGTGGACCTAGCAGATATTAAAGTTGGCTCAGTGGAGGAATTTCAGGGACAAGAATTCCTAGTGATCATCATATCAACAGTACGTAGTGAAGTGCTACTTGTATATGTGGTATTCAGAGGCTAATGTCATCCCCCAAGTTAGCAAGCTGAAGTAGAATAAAATGCATGTGTAAGTGACTAGTAAAACTCAGGACAGGCAGATTTAAAAAAAAAATTAATTACATTTTTTTACATGTCAATCCTTTTTATTATAATATAAAATACAAAAGTACAAAAGCAAATACGGTAATAGGAAAAATAGGGGAGGGAAAAGGGAAAGGTGTAGAAAAGAAGGGAAAAAGAAAGAAAAGCCACTGACTTCTCACTCCCTTTATTGCAGTAGGATAAGATAGTAACATCGAACCTCAACATTTTACTTTTACATAATAGTATAAACTAGCCATTTCTATAACAACAGATCTATCTAATCAGTAAAACCCAAATCAAAGTTTCATTTTTTCCACTCAAGCACAAAATCCAGAAGGGGTTGTTTCCAAGTAGAAACAAAAATGATTGTGTTTTTTTCTTTTATGAAAGCAGTCAATTTGGCCACCTTTGCTAACTCCATCAGCTTTTGCAACCATTCATCCATTGTGGGGATTGAAGTGTCCTTCCATTTTTGTGCATAAAGTAATCTTGCTGCCGTCAACATATATAGCATCAAAGTTCCACATTTTTTCCCAGGTGTTTTTCCATTAAACCCAAAAGAAAAGTTACTGGTTTTATCTTAATATTCACTTTAAGAATCTTCTGTATTAGAATATGAGTCCTACTCCAATATTTCTTTGCTTTATCACATGTCCAGCATAAATGATAAAAAATCCCTTCTTTACATTTGCATTTCTAACATTCATTTGAAATACCTTTATACACTGTTGATAATTTATCTGGTGTTAAATACCAATGATACATCATCTTATTAAAAAATTCTTTTAAGTTGTAATTTAATGTAAATTTAAACCTTTGGTCCACATATTCTTCCTTGTTCAAGCTTTCTTCCTGATATTTCAAACTGTTGCTCTCACAATTACTTGAAATTGATCGTCCTGTCTAGCTGAAGTCCAAAATGTCTGGAAGATATCTCTTTACAGATAATACAATCCTCTGCATAATTATTCATTAGTAGTTTTCAGTGTACATAGTGAAGCTGATCAGTGTGCTTAAGATTGCAAGTTGTGTATTAGTACAAAATGTGGTAGTTGATATATGTTGGTTGTACTATAGTCTATACCAGTGTTGGCGAACCTATGGCACGCATGCCAGAGACGGCACTCAGACCCCTCTCTGTTGGCACACGTGCCACCACCGCCAGCAGCAGGTCCATCAGGCCACCACTGCCACCCGGAACAGGAGCCCTGCCCAGCACAAAGGAGGTGAAGCGGCCGACTAGCAAGCTCGAGTAGAGGTGGTAGAGCAGAGGTCACCAACCATTGTTGATTGGTGGATTGGAAGAAAAGGGAGGGGGAAGCATTTTACATGTGTGCGTGTGCACAGGACCTCGAGCAACGACACACTACAAATGGGGCGGGGCTAGTGCCTGCATAATACTCACTAGCCCTGCCCTGTTCTGTGGTGCAGCACCTTGTATCTGCACCCCGTGGTGCGGCGGCAGCCATTTTTGCACCTTGCAGCATGGTGGCCCATTTTTGTGCCCACAGGTTTTGCGTGCCAGAGGCAGCACTCAGAGGAGCCTCCCTGCCACACACACACACCCCAAGGGCACCACAATGATGATGCGGCCCTGGCACTTTGCAATAAATAAGTGGGTTTTGGATTGCGATTTGGGCACTCGGTCTCTAAAAGGTTCGCCATCCCTGGTCTATACCAATCCACAAAACCTTGAAGATTGCAGTTATTAGGTACATTGTGTCAAATTTCCTTTGAGCCCTTTTTAAATGGGGAAATACTATTAAACCTTTGACTATTTAGAATGCAGTTCTGTTACTCATCAAATTGCTAGACCAAGATTTCTGTGGTTGATGTAAGGACTTACATTTTAACTCACTTGCAGTACTTGGTGGAAGAGAATGATTCATTCTGGGCTTTGAAACTTTTCAAAAACACATGGTAATCATCTCTGAGGCTGCACAAACCTCTACATCATGGCTATATCCTGTCTTTTCCTTCAGGAGTTCAAGGCAGCACAGATAGTATTCTTTGCTCCTTTTTTCCTCATAGTAACAGCTTGGTGTTAGAAGGATGGGCTAAGGGAGAGCAACCAGACGAAATTCACCTAGGGAGTTTCTGTTGCTGAGGACAGAGTTATAATAATAATAATAAAATTGGAAGGGACCTTGGAGGTCATCGAGTCCAACCCCCTGCTCAGGCAGGAACCCTACACCAATTCAGACAAATGGCTGTCCAGCCTCTTCTTAAAAACTTCCAGTGTTGGATCATTTACCGCTTCTGGAGGCAGGTTGTTCCATTGGTTAATTGTTCTAACTGTCAGGAAGTTTCTCCTTAGTTCTAAGTTGCTTCTCTCCTTGATCAGTTTCCACCCGTTGCTTCTCGACCTGCCTTCAGGCACCTTGGAGAATAGCTTGACTCCCTCTTCTTTGTGGCAGCCCCTGAGATATTGGAACACTGCTATCATGTCCCCCCTCGTCCTTCTCTTCGTTAAACTAGACATACCCAATTCCAGCAACCGTTCCTTATATGTTTTAGCCTCCAGTCCCCTAATCATCTTTGTTGCTCTTCTCTGCTCTCTTTCTAGAATCTCAACATCTTTTTTACATCGTGGTGACTAAAACTGGATGCAGTATTCCTAATTCTAGTCCATTTTAATCACTATGCTATATTCAACTTCAGATTATAAAATTGTCTGCAGTACTATGCGTAATTGGAGGAATTAAATGGTCTATGCTTATGTTCCAGGTTCGGTCAAATGAAACTGTACACAGTGATGAAAGACCCTTTTTAGGTTTTCTTGCTAATTCAAAGCGCTTTAATGTAGCAATTACCAGACCCAAGGCTTTGCTCATTGTTGTGGGAAATCCTCATGTGCTTGCCAAAGTAAGAATTTCTTATTTATTATCTAATTCATGCTCATTTAATTACATTAATATAATAATTTCATTGCCATATTGGTAGCTGCCTGTCTCTATTTCTAATTTAAAGTTCCGGGAAAAAGCTATGTGCTAGTGATTCATCTGAATCTTTCTTAGCAATACATTAAATGCAGAAAAGATAATTATCTGAAATATGGTGAACTCAGTCTTAATTTCAATAAATGAGAATACAGCAGGGAGCCAAATGAAGTCAACAAATGAACGTGTTGCTATCATAAATGATCTTAAACATCTCACTTCTGAAGTTGTAAAGTTTTGCCTCGTCCTGAAAAAAATTATGTAGTCACTAAGTGTTGACATGAACATATGGCATATATGGATTATATGGCATACAATCAAAAGTAATGCCACTTTTAATAACAAACTGTTCTTTCCCTCAAAAAAGCAACCATACTATGCATTATCTCTAAATATGGTACTGTTAGTAGATTGTATTGCATTTAGTTTTTGCAACTGGAGATGGGCAGCATATAAATTTAATGATATTTTTTGTTTATGTACAATTGAAATTAATTGATAAATTCAGCTGTTGGTTGCAGCAGCAGTCTTCAATGCTATGATCCTCATTTGTCTGTTTTTTGCTAACTCACACTAATATAATTTTAGCTAATATAGTATGGTTTATTTTATTTTGCTTCTTCTAATTTTTCATAATTAAGAGAATAGTAGTGCTATAAATTGGACAAATCAAATATTAAGCTTTTCATAGTGCCTTTATAGCCCAATATAATTTCTTGTTTATATAGTTCAAAAGTGACAACACCTAGTAATAATTGTTGAGTTTCTGTTAACTCCAAATGGAGACTAGAATTTCATGGAAAAGCATAGTAACTAATTAAATAGAAGTGTAGTTGTGCTTTTTAAGACTTTTTTTGAATAACAAATTAATGCAGGTGTTCTTTAGGATGTTCCTTTTCTAAGAATGTTGATTTTCATGGCAATACTGAATCCCTAGACTAAATTGCTAATTTCTTTCCTCTTCAATTTGCTTGTCTTCAGAGAAAGTGTACAGAAGTTGGGCCAGGTTGTTCCACTTTCACTATAGTAGTAATGGCAATAACAAAGGACAACAAGAATTGGGAAGGAATAAATTGACCCAGAATATTTGACTTTCAAATGCTAGTTTATAATAGTAATAATGGCAATAACAAAGGACAACAAGAATTGGGATGGAATAAATTGACCCAGCTCAATTTTGATTTTCAAATGCTAGTTCAGATCTTGAAACACTACTTTCTAGTTATAGCAACCTTTATTAAGTAAAGTCTGCTGAACATCTTGAATAGTTGCCAAATCAAGTCTTTCAAAAAAATAAGGAAACATGTAATTTGTCTCAGTGAAATAAATGTTACAAAAGCCTATAAAAACTTTTAATGGGATTTAGTAATGTATATTATAAATTATAAGAAGTTAGACTATGCTTGCTTTAGCCCAGCTCCCACACTGTCATCTTAGGTATCCTAGCAACACANAGTATAGCAGCATATCAAGAATTAGAACTATTGGAATAGTTGGAAGATATTCAGAGTCTTTGAAGGTTTCCTCTGATATCCCATTGTCCAAATTGTTTCAGACAATGTTACAGTTATCTAGTAGATCAACATAGTTACATAAGATCCCATTTTTCCCCTTTCATATTGAATATAGCATTGGTGTGTTCCATATTTACTCAGTCCATCTGCTGGAAATAACTACTCTGATCAGATAGTCTACTTGCATCCCTTATATAAATAGAGACTTCATCAAATAATTGTGATTTTCTTCATAATTGGTGGAAAATTCCAAAATCAATCTCTTTGCACTTCAGGACAACCATCAATGCCTAGGCCAGTGATGGTGAACCTTTTAGAGACTGAGTGCCCAAACTGCAACCCAAAACCCATTTATGCATCGTTGAGTGCCGGGTGGGTGTGGTCCATTGAGTGGGCATGGCCAATTGGGTGGGCGTGGCTGCGGTGGTAACGGCAGACTGGGTGGGACTAAAAAGTTCAATCAATCAATTCCAACTTTGCAAGATTTTTTTTTCCCGCGAGAAGTTGAAATTGACTGATTGAACCTTTTTTTTTTTTTTTTTTTTTGCACACGGCGGCGGAGGCCTAAAGCAAAAAGGTTTTATAAAACCCAGCTGAAGGCCTAGGACTGGGGCGACAGCGCGCGTGCCCACAGAGGGGCTCTGAGTGCCACCTCTGGCACCCGTGCCATAGGTTTGCCACCACTGGCCTAGGCTCTTGTTCTGCGGTTAAAATGCATCCTTAATCTTAAGACTATGTTTTTGTTTCCTTTATTATTTTCTAGCAATTCCCGTTAATTAGAGCTCTTTCAACCACTTATGTGAATGTTTATAGATGGTCTTAAAGTTGCAGGAAAGCAATTACTTTGGAATGCATGATACTATCTAGACATGATTATTACTGTAAATCAATTTAAGCTAGTAAAACAAATATTTCATATGATGCCTTTGGTTATAGGTACCATTTCCTGCATTCTGGGATTAACTGATTAAAATAATATTTCTCTATTTCTTGTTTTATTTCTTGTCCTACTTTGTTAATCTGCAGGTGCAGTTAAATAGAAGAAGTGCCGCCAGGCCACTTTTCCAGACTATGACTTTATTTCCTAAAAAAAAAATACAGAGATTTGTTTTTTTGGTTGTTTAAAAGAATATACTATAAAACAGTGCTTATTGAGTTATAATTATGGTTTCATTGTTGCTGTATTTTTATGCTATAACAATAAATATGATTAAAGCATTTTGCAGGTATCTTCTTTTTTCTTGTAGTTAATAAGCATGTACAATAAAGTACTAGATTTTATTCTTCATGGCAAATTAGCCTTAGCTTGTTCTGAGATTCTTCAACTTCATATAAATATTGTTGGCAGATCTATAGCTGAACAATAGTTTTCCCAGCTAGATAAGAGTGTATGGCCAACTTGGGCTGATCTCAGAAAAAATGAAGCAGAGTGGACTGCTTGATTCAATCAAGAAGAGAAGCAATCTGGAATTAAGGAGAAACTTCCTGAAAATGAGAACAATTAAGCAGTGGAACAGCTTGCCATCAGAAGTTGTGTGTGCTTCATCACTGGAGGGTTTTAAGAAGAGACTGGACAGTCACTTGTCTGAAATGGTATAAGGTCTCCTGCTTGAACGGGGTTGGACTAGAAGACCTCCAAGGTCCCTTCCAGTTCTTATTCTGGTTGGTTGGTTGGTTGGTTGGTTGGTTGGTTGGTTGATGCTTGAAGGGAAGAAAAGGAAATACACAGTGCTGTGGTCTAAAGGGGAATGTGTGAGGGAGGGAATGACTTGGAACAAGTTAGTGGCAAACTACTCCCAAACTTCTACTAGTGAATTGTCAAAGTTCAGTTCAGTTTGGGGTAGCCTTTATATTTAAAGAAACTTCTCCACGTTGTTCCTGTGCTACTTTGGTCAGAAAGTAGAATAGCAAGCAAGATTTTATTATTTATTTATTTATTTATTACATTTATACCCCGCCCTTCTCCTGGTGGACTCAGGGCGGCTTACAGCCAATTTAAAACAAAACAATCAATACAATATACAAAATTTAAAATGTAATTAAAAAGAAATATTAATATGGGCCTTTTCTTCCTTTTTTTAAAAGTTATTTAAAAACCAAATTTAAAATACCCCTTAGGCC